CCATACAAAAATCGGCCGGCGGCGATGGTCGTTTTGGACACCCAACCGCTGCACGCGCAAGACCCGCCCAAACAGGTTCCGACCCAATAGTCTTTGCTTACGCAAGGGCCTCTAGCCTAGATACTTCTTCTTCTCAGATGACCAGTAACTTTTGAAACACACTCCTTAGGTAGAGAGAAGACAATGACTACTTGACATACTCGTTTGATATGCTAGCGCTTGCCATCCCATTCCCCTAATTACATCAGCCTCTTCACCTTGCGACGTCACCCTATCCACCTTGCTAGAAGTACGGACACTTAGGACGTCCCTATCCATTACAGTATATTTTGCTCTTGCCTATTAATTTCTCTACTAATGTATTCTATATAGTATACTTCTCTATCTACTACATTCCTAACCAATAGAACTGTAACTTTATTAGCGATGGTTTAATTAGTTGCGTTGCCAATATACTTGTTACCTAATACATTAAGCAAGCTAGAGCATCTTTACTATTACTTGTAAGGGTAACTTGCTTAGTAGAATAAGATCACATTTAAAGTTATCTAAGAGGTTTTAAAGAATTAAAGTGTAGAGCCGCAGAAGCGGGCTGGTCTCAAAGAGGATGTAGGCCACGCATAACGAGAAAGATAAGATAATAGTAAGCTATAATATTACTATTTGCTTTGTATATAGTATAAGCTCTGGCTTCCTACTCGCGTAACTCTATTGAGTATTAAGTACAACTTTACACCTAGTGGTTTGCATGATTTAAGTCTATCTAAAGTAGTTGCAAATATCTTTAAGAGAGAGCACTAGAAGGAGAAATAGACTACTAACAACTAAGGTTACTATAGCTGTATAAAGCGCCTACAGCTTTGTAAGGGAGCGATTTGGTAAGGAACAAAATTGTATATGAAGCTATAAAGAGTTGCAAAGCGCAGCGAGGTTTTGAGGTGCTATGCCAAGCCGCTAGGCACTAGGGTGTGCTATATGAGTAAATGTAGGAATACGCGTAGCCAGCCTTGAGGTTGCGGGTAGAGCCATGACAAGCTCACTCGATTAGAGTTAGATTAGTAGAATAGTCACGAAGATGCCTACGAGGTATGAGAAGTGTATAGAGATGAATGGACAAGCAATTCCATTTTGAGTTTGGTGTTGGTGATGGCTGTTTGGTGTTGGCTCAGCTGCCAATCTGTCACACTTGTCTTCTCACCTAGGAAGAAATCATGGAAGCAGAGCACCAGCCGGTAGCATTGAAGAGGGTGACGGGTCTACATAGTATACCGGGATGACATACATAAGCAAAACCTCGAGCGCCATTGGACGCCAATCAAGCCAACCCATGCCGACATCTTCCAGCACTCAGTCCTCAATCACAACAACGTCACGCTCCTGATCCGAGCGCGGCCGAGCAGCTGCCGGGCAAAAACGAGCAACGGCCATGTTCAGAACCTCCCACCTCTCCCGCGCGATCCAATTCTCCTTCGTCTCGTCATGAGCCAGATCATGGTGCAGTTGTGCGTGCTCCCACGCATCATGCAGCGCCTTCGTCAAGCTGCACGGCAGCTCTCGGAGCACGCCGCAGACTTGCTTGACGGATGCTTCGCCTCGGCCGAACAGCTGATCGGAGCGCACGACGCGATGACAGCGATCGTTGGGTTTGTCCACGCGGTCGCGGCATGCGTGGCCCTCCTTTTCGTCTTCGCATCGTTCCTTGCATCCTGGATGGCGGCAGTTTTCCAGCGCGAGAGCCTGTAGTGCAACGAGCACGGGTCGAGCGGCGTCGCGGCGGGCAGCTCTCTGTGCGGCTCGGTCACGGCGGGCGGCAAGCCGGTAAGCCTGTTGTGAGGTCGAAGTGCAGCGGCGTTTCTGAGGAGTGTGCTGGAGGTGTGCCGGCGCCGATGACGAGGTGCTGGATAGGAGTGCGGTATCGACATCGGACGTGCATGCTCGCTTCTTAGACACCGCAGGTAGGGTAGGAGATGACGTGTCGGATACTGGCGAATGCTTATGAGGCTGAAGGGAGGGGCCAGAGTGTGAGATGGACTCGAGCGCGAAATCACGTCGTGGGTTGTCTGCCTGAGCTAGTTCCTCGGAGGACAGGTTCGACGGCAATGTGCTGGCGCGCGGGTGTGCCGGATTGTTGGTGGCGGAAAGCATGTTCGTTCCGGGTATATGCCGTCGCTTCGTTCGATCTTCCAAGGATTCGTTGTGCACTTGGAAGTCTGTTACATGATCATTTGGCCCTGAGTGCGGAAAGTTGCCTGCGCCGGCTGGCTGGTCACCGTCTAGAGCGTGCTTCCGCTTGCTTCGCATGTCGAGAGGTGAGGACGCGATGGCGCTTGAGTATGAAGGGCTTGCAGCCGTGTACTCCGGGTCCGAGGACGGCGAAGCGGGCTCGTGATAAGGAAATCTTATGAGGCTGCCTGGAGAATCGTCGGCAATGTGACCAGCTCCAGCACGATTGATTGCAGAAGAGGGAGGAGTGAGTAGATTGCGGGGACAGGGCAGACCGTCCGTGTCCGCTTCATCTGCAATCCACCGATCTCCAGCAACTGGGCGAGATGTTAGTTACGGGGGTGGACGACAAGTGGACGGCTGCTGTCGGCAATACTTACATCGTTGGTGGTACTCGCACCGCGTCCAGTCCGCCGCACTGATGGCACAGTTGGTGCAGCCGTCACCGAACTCACCTTGTACCACGACACACTCCGGTAAATTGCCCTGCCCGTTCTCGCAGCAGTGGCATTTCCATGTCTGTCGGATGCCTCTTACGTGAGCCAGCAGAGCTCGCAAGGTACATTGGCGTGCGGCATTAACTTTGCGAAGCCGGCCCGGGCGAAAGAGCAGCGGTCTCCTGTCGTGCTCGTCGTGGTACCTGGCCAGGATTTTGGACAGCGCGCCACCGACGCTGGAGACTTTGTTCCGGAGCGCGAGACGATGATCTTTCCCGTCCTCAGGGACGAATTGCAGGCTGTCGAGCTTCTCGACTTCGGCAGGTCGCCCACGGGTGCCGCGTACGAAATGGCATTCCTCGAACTCACGAAGCTTCTCCTCCGCCAGCTTCAGCTGGCCACGCTGCTCCCAAGTCGGCGTCCATCTGACAAGGTACACCCTGTCGTCGTCATCGAGGTCTGGCGTGTGGTTCCATGCACTGATATAAGCATCTTCACGTTCGGCCTCGCTGGAAATGGAAACAAACAGTCTCCCATCGTCACGTCGGCTGATAAAACGTGAAGCGATGGCTGTTGGCTCCCACTCCAAAAGATAAAAATCGCCATGATCTTCTCTATGTTGCAGAATCCTGGACACCGGCCAATCGTGGTTGCGTTCAAGCAGAAGAATTTCTGGTTGCTCCCGTAGCTGTATAGAAGTTGGGTCGACTGTTCGCTTTGACCTTCGGACGTGCTGCTGGTCGTGCTGTTCTGCGCGTAGCATTTCTCGTGCAGGACGTCGCCGTGCCGAAGGCTGGGTGACGGCATTTGGTCCAGCCGTAGCAGGGAGCTGTGGTGCAGGGGTCGAGTGCTCCAGATCAAGTGGTGTGGTTGGTGCTGGTGGCGCCAGAGAAGAACGCTGCGGTGATGTGACTGTCTGCTCGGCTGCAGAAGGTTCAGAAGCTGCAGGCGGGCTGGAAGTGGCCGGATCCAGGTATCCCAGTAGCGGGGACCTGGCTAGGCTGGAGGGTGATGAGTGCACGTCATTGAAAACTGATTCGATGAGGTCCCAAGCCTCCCTCTCGTCGGCGGTCTCCTCACCGCGGGGGCCAAGTGTGGAGTTTGGAGGCGACGCCTTGGAGCGTGAAGTGTGGCCACGTCCACTGGAGGCGTCTGAAGTGCTGGTAGTGCGGAGCGGTGGTCCAAAGTCGCGAGAACGAGACGGTGATATTCTTAGTGCACATGGCTGGGAGAGAGCAACTGAACTCTTGGACGAGAGCCACTTGGACGCTACAGATGGTCCTGCTTGCTCGAACACCTCTTCCGCCGTTCCATAAGCGCTGCTGTTTGTTTCATCCTCAATATCCTCGAAGCGCCAGTCATCGGCGTCGGCCTGTGAGGCAGTCGGGCGAGGTGGCGTGGGAGGTGGCCTTTGCGGAGCATTGATCGGCGTGAAATGGAACATGATTGCTGTTCAGATGTCAGCCACAGCACTTGCATAAGAAGCAAAACTTTCACCTGGCGATGATCACGGAGGACTTCTGGCCCGATCGATATCAGCACTGCTCTGCTCGGATTCGGCTACCGAGATGCTGCGAACGACGTGCCGGAAGCAGGTGTATCCTCTCCTGGTGGCAATCCTGTTGCTCCAGCAGTCTCTCCAACGAGCCGATCACTGCTAGTCTCTAGTCCAGCTATTGAAGCGCTTGCGTTCCAGATGTCGAAGCTCCAGCGGTGCCAACGCCAAAGAGACGGATGCTGCGTGTAGGCCTGATCTCTGTCGGCCTTGTGGCGCTGCTGCGCTGGCGGGCTCCAGGTCGGGGCTCAGTTGAAGTTTCGAGATGTGCTGCTGCTCCTTGCGAGTTGGGAGAATGCTGCCGTGTTCAACGCCGACTTGCTGCTCCTGGATGTTTTGGGCAAGGCGAGGAGAATAGGAAAGGATGTGTGGGCAGCGCTTGGGAGAAAGACGCAGTGAGAATCTCAACGAACAATGGATTGGAGAAGAAAGTACTGATGGGGATCTTGGAGTCGAGAGGCGGAGAATGGTTCTGAATGATGGAAATATTGCTTACCGCACGCGTCTGCTACATCACGCCATGGACGCGGTACGCGTTGGACCTACCGAATCCTGACTCATAAGATACCCCGGGCGGGTGGCTGGTAGTTGCTAGGGTCCCAGTTGGCCGTGGAAGGACTGGGTGGCATGCTGGACGAGCCAATCTGCGCTGGCGCGAGCTGTCACATTTCTTGACATGGCCTATCCGAATCCTTGTCCGGCTGCCAGGTTCGTGCAGTTGGTGGGTGGCCATTGCCGGCCCATGATGGGCACTCTGTACATTGCGAGGGTATCCCATTTGCGTGAAATGTATGGCATTGGCGTCGATGGTGCTGGAGTCAAGAGGACTCGTCGTGGTGGAAGAGGTGAGGTTCGAGGAACATCTCGGCTGGCCTAACCGCATTCGGGCACCTGCCGCGGTCCAGACGCTCGACTTCTCGACCACACCGAACACACCACACCTTGGACTCGACTTTCAAGAATGGCCCAACATGATCCGGCCTCCTCTCGGCGATCCACAGCATGACAAGGCCATTGAGCGGTACAGGAGCCGAATATCCCTCCTGGCACGGAACTCTGGGCTGAGGCGTCAGACCATGCCAGCCCCTGCATGCTTGTGCAACATCGCTTCGAGAGAGGAAGACGACGACCCGTCCTCCGTATCTATACGGCTCTCTTGGACAGGACTTGCGTTACAGGGTACTGCGTCTGTGCCGCGTGAGAGAAGACACCGAGGGCAGCAGGACCGAGCGAGGCAAAGGCATCACTGGACTGGGGCTGCTGGAGGGTTGGACCGCTCGATTGCTGGAGCCTCTGACCTATCGACAGTATATATGAAATCGTGGCGCAGTAGCTTGACGGACAGAAGCACACCAGGGCACGGACCCCTGGTTGAGCATTGGAACTGCCGAGCGAGATCCACCGCATCACCTTCCTGGCTCACACGTATGGTTGCAGAGAACCTGTTCAACTCCCCGTTGTGGTTTCATGGTGCTGGGCCCCCGGCTTCGACCCGGGATGAAGGCGCTTCCGTTTATCAGTCAACACAGTCCTTGGATGCGCTCAGGATGCCTGCTTGTGGGTTGCTTGCCAGGAGTGCCGTTGCACGACCTGATCTCGCTCTGACACGATTTGGAGCAGCGTGTCGTTCAGCACCGTGTTCTACGACAAGGCTGGCAAGCAACATCAGCGAGATCTGTCTTCCGTTGCATGTTCCGAGCACGTTGCGTCTCCCGGCCGTTGCTTTCAATCCGCGCGCTCTTCGCGATCGATGGGATGAGTTACACACTCACGGTCCTCTCGATCCATTCCGCCTCTCATCTCAATCTCAAACGGTGCAGACAATGGCAAGAGCATGCACTAACCGCCACTCCTAATTGTTTTGGAGTGGCAAGATGTGTAGGTAGCTAAGCACAGCCCGCAATTAATCGTCTTCCGATTCACCTTCACCGGCTACGTTGGTGAAGATGTCCAACAACCGCTTCAGCCCAAAGGTCCAACATGAAGCCACAATTAAGTCCACTCTCTTCATTTCGCCAACGCCTCGGTCGCGCCGCCTCATTGTCACTTCCTCTCACGCTCGTACACATGTCGAAAGTGTGCTCGTCACGTCGGTTCGATTAGTTCTCGACTCGGATTCGTGATTTAGAAGAAGGGTACTGTTTTAAGAGACTCTAGCCTAAGACGAGTCGTTGTATTCTGGCGCTTGCGCATTGTTCCCGGCTGACTTAAGACGAGTTAGCTGCATCCACCCTGCGAAGATGAGAGCGCGGGTCTACGTTCGGGTGGGCGGGCAGCGTGAGCTTGGTGAGGCAAGCGAGGACGTCTCGAACCAGTTCAAGTCACTGCAGTGGAAGCGGATGAGTTTCAGCAAAGCAGCATGAAGAATGCCATCCAGCGTCTCAAGCTACGAATGCATCCTCTTCGAACAATGAACAGTCCCAAGCGAGCGCGTGCGCCGCGCAACCCTCAAACTCCCATCCCACAGTGTCATGCGGCAGCATATCCATGACGCAAATACCCATAATCATAACACCGTCCCTTCCACCTCCAGCATTATCTCGCGTCCTCCTCCCCGCTCCTCTCCCGCACCAACACCCTGCGCTTCTTCTTCGCCGGCGTCCTGCTCGCCTCTCCCTGCCCCCTCTCCAGCTCATTCACCGGCGTCGTGCCTCGCGCCAATGGACTCTGTGCCCGATCGAACCCGGCGCTCGCGTTTCGGGACTCACTCCGCGTGTACCCGTAGCCGTAGGGCATAAACGCGTCTCGCGTCCGGACCGGGCTGTCCCTCCCACCCGCCGGCTCGATCTCGCCGCTCCCGACGAACGAGGGGTCCTGCGCCTGGCTCATGGGCGGCGGGTTCTCGGGCCCGTTGCTGCGGGTGGTGATGCCGGTGTTGAAGCCCGCGGTGATGGCGTCTTGCTTGCGGTCGTGGCGTTTCTTGAGCCAGCGGCCGCCGACGCCGAGGGCGGTGAGGCCGATGGCGAGGACGATGATCATGACGACCCATTTCTGCGGCATTTCAATTAGCATCGGTGGGTTTGGGAGAGATGAGACGGAAGAGGGTGCATACCCAATGGCAGTCGAACCAATCGCTGCAGCCTTGGTCATCGAGGTCGCTGGCGGAGGTCCCAGCGTTGGCGGTATTGCTGGGCGTGCTCGGAGAGGAGGATGAGGAAGAGCCAGGTGCTGCCGCGCTTCCGCCATTGCTGCTGCTACCTCCACTGCTGCTACTCCCACCTCCATGCTCAGAAGCGCCGTTGTCGCTCCCGCAGTTCTGCGTGTACCACTGGCTCACTTGGGTGTTGTCGCTGGGGCTGGAGCACGAGTTTGCGCACATGGTGGTCAGGTCGCCCCCGGAACCAGACCAAACTTGCCGACAGAAGCAGGACCATGCTTGGGCGTCATCGGCGGACGTGCCGCCGCAGGCTGATTGGGCTTGGGTGAGGACGGAGCATGATTGACCGCACTGGGGGAGTTGGCCGTTGGAAGTGTCGCTAAGGACTTGGGCGGAGGCGAGGGGGAGGAGGACCGCGGGGAGGAGGGTGGTAAGTGTGAGCTTCATGGTGGCGGGCTGTTCTGGACCACGTGGTCGGATGGAGGAGGTGGTGTCTTCACTGGGTGTCCTTGGTGGGAGCGGGGTCTAGATGTAGCGACAGTCGAAGCGGTGGTGATGTCGAGATGGCAGGGCCAAGTGTCGCCAAGGTATGCGCCCAACGGCAGCCGCGCACACCTCCTTCTCCTTCTGTTTTCAGCTCCTGTATCAATGACTCTCCTCCGGTGTATAGTCCGTCGCCGATGGGGTGGTGGTGCGGTGCCTGTCGGAGGCGTCGTCGAAGGGCGGAAGGGGAGGCGGCTGGCGTTGATGATGCCTGCACGACCAGGAATGGGAACACGAACGGAAGAGCGGCCGCTAAGCCACGTTGGCTCAATGCTTAAGCTTCGTGGAGGCGCGTGCGGGGCCGCGGTTCTGTGTGGAAAGAGCGAGGCAGATCCTCACCTCGTTCTCTTCTTCATCTTCACAGATAAACGCTCGCCAACGCCAACGCCAACATGCAGCTTGTCGGCGTTAATGAGTCGATGACGCGGCGGATGGCGTGCATGAGCTGTCCCTGGCATGTGGCTGCATTGGCTGCATTGGTGCCTTCTTGATGCGGGGAGGAGAGCAGCAGCGAGGCAAGTCTTGATTGCTTTGGGCTGCAGATTTCGAACATCTTCTTCAAAGTGGACGGCGAATAGCGTATGCTGAGTCTCCCATGAGTCTCACTTGCAACATGACATGCTGCGTCGGGCATGGTTCAAGAGGAGATTTGAAGGCGGCTGAACGACCCCCGCGATGTACCTCGTTCAAGAACTTCGTGGTTATGAACCGAACACTTCTGATGGTCTGATACAACCACCAAGCCGGCCACCTGGATCCAGAGCAAGAAGCAAGCCGCCATCTCACCCGGCCGTTGGATTTGCCGGGGGAGTTCGAGGTAGGCCACGGCGGCGTATCATGATGAGAGAGCAGCAGGTTGAAGACTGGGAGTCTGATACTCCATCCTGCGATGCTGGCGTTTCCATTCATCTCTCATCTGGTGTTCTGACGAGGTAGGCTTATTTGGGACACCGAGATGTTCTCGTTGCCTTGCTGCAAACCCGGAGGCTTTGCTAACCTCTCGTGTTGTTTCAATTGCTTCTCGGTAGTCGGAGGACGATCCTTGAGCTGTTTGGAAGGCATGACTCCTACCCATGCCCTGGCCAACAGTCAACCCTCAGAGCCCGCCCTGCTCAAGTCTACCACGGCCGCGAACGGACATTTTCCTTCGCCTGTGGACTGAGCACATGCACAGAGCCGATTGGTAATGTCCTTTCCACTGGAAAAGGTACGCCAGCGAACATTAGTACTACGCAGTGGTGCGAGGACACTGTTATGCACGAACTTGCTGATCCATGCTGAAGGCCGGTGAGGTGACTCGACTGAAGGAGAGGTTGGAAGCAGACCAGCGCACGACGAACACCTGCGTACTAGAGTTGATGCTCCGGAAGCAGTCCGCTACCAGCCAGAGTCTGGGCTCATTGGTGCACTCGAGCAAGACCATGGATCTGAAGATGGAGGCCGGAATCAGCAGCCTGCGCCAGGAAATCACGGTCCTGGCCCGTCAGAATCAAGCGGCACTCGCGGACATTGCTACGAAGCTGGACCGTCTTCATGACCTTGGGCAACGTGCGGCGAAGTCTCCAGCTGTTCTCCAGAGTCTGGTGTTCGACGAGTTCTACCATCGGGAGCTGGCCATCCACGAGGCCCACCAGACTACCTTCAAATAGATTTTCGTGCATGACACAACTTCATTCAAATATTGGCTCGAGTCTGGCCGCGGAGCATTTTGGATCAATGGGAAGGCAGCTTCAGGCAAATCGACGCTGATGAGGTTCGTGGCGAGCAACCCGCAGACGCGGCAGATACTGCAACGATGGGCTGGGCAGAAGGAGCTGGTGGTCGCCAAGCACTGTTTCTCGAATGCTGGAACGGAGATGCGGAAGTCTCACAAGGCCTGCTGCAGAGTCTGCTGTTCCGGATTCTTTCTACCTGTCCCGAAAACATCCCGTCCGTCTGCGCTGCGAGATGGGCCCAGCATACAGATGAAGATCAGGAAGCCGCAGGATGGACGAGGAGGGAACTTTCAGAAGCGTTCACGGCAGTGCTGCAGCGAAGCCTAGATACGCGATTCCTCTTCTTCATTGACGGTCTCGACGAGTACGTCGGCGGGTTCGATGACTTGCTAGCGGACCTGCGAGCACTGACCGATTCCCCACTGGCCAAGATCTGCGTCTCCAGTCGTCCTTGGAACCCGTTCAAGGAAGCTTCCGGATCTCGGCCGGAGCTGATGTTGGTGCTGCAGGACCTCACCTCCACCGACATCTACCGGTATGTTCAGGCGAGCCTGCAGTCGAACCCCAGATTCGTAGCGCTTGCTGCTCGGGAACCGAGGGCACACAACCTTCCGAAAGAGATCCGGGACAAAGCTCAAGGTGTGTTTCTCTGGGTGTATCTCGTAGTACGATCTCTATTGCGTGAGCTAGGAGAGCGCGATAACTTTGCCATGCTCGAGAAGAGGCTCCGGGACACGCCAGCAGATCTCAAAGAGCTCTTCGTTCGTATTCCTGGAGCCGTCGAGCCGGTTTACCGTGAGTGGTCTGCGCGTGCGCTGCTAATCGCGACGGGCTCCGGCGAAGCATTGCCATTAGTCTTCTACTGGTTCCTGCAAGAAGACGCGGCCAGCCCAGAACTTGCGTTCAAGAGAGACACAAACGTTCTCCCTGATTCTGAAGTTCCTGCCGTTGAAGATGAAAGCATGTTGAGGATCAACTCATGGACGAGAGACTTTCTAGAATGCACTACGCTCGGAGTGCAGGGTCAGGCAGGAGACACTGATCCACCGATACTGCGCTCGATGAATGTTCGGAAAGTCGACTTTCTGCACCGCACAGTGCGAGACTTTCTCCTGGAACCCGAACGAACAGAGATTCTGTTCGAGAGAGCCGGGGTGGGGTTCGACCCTTTCGTGGTCACCTGCCGAGTCTTCTTGATCCTCGCGAAGGACCTCCGCCACCACGACGAGGTCTCCGCGGTTGCCCGACTGCGAGACCTCATCCTCATCCATCTCGAGAGGACCACGACGATCAACACCCGGAAACGTATCCTGGCAGAATTGAGCGTCCTAGGCAGGACTTTGCCCGGAGCCAATCGAGAACGTTGGAGCCGACTCCTAAATGAGATGGACGAGCAGGGCGCGGCGAGGTCCCGCAAGTTGGATGACGCTGGTATGTCCCGCATGTTGACCAGGACTGGGGAGGAGATGGACGGAGATGAGTTCTTCGAGATGTCTCAGCGCTTCTATCAAGGACGTTTGGCTCAGGGGACACTCAGCCGCAGAGCAAATCCACAGCGTGCTCAGTTTCGGACCGACGATTCTGCTCTTGCGATGGGTGTCACTCCGACATATGCGAAGAGCATGTCTGCCAGATTTCGGGCTCTGCTGCGTTTGGACCGGGAGAAGAAGGGCTGAGAATGTCGGCATCAATACTCCTGCTCGCCTCTGTTGCATGTCAGAACCCGTTCTCAACTCTTGGAGGACTTTGCGGTGACAAAAGTCCTTTTCCCAAGTCTGGACGAACCAGGCATCCACTGCCCCGTGGGCAAGGTCCTCGCTGGTGGTATTCACTTCACCTCACTCGTATGACGCAACGGTAAGAAGCCAGCATCGAGCCGTTGGGAACAGAAGTCAAAGATTCCAATCACCTGATGTCATTCCTTTTACTTGCCATGAGAACTCCGGGCTCGACCCTACTCTTGAAGAAGAACTACAGATAGCAACGTTGCGAGTCGGTTCATGAACTCGGCAGTTCGCTGCCGCTGCAATGAGACTGCCGCGCATGCTGTTCGCCAAAGCATTGGGTCCGAAAGGCTCGGAATCGATATTAACGCTCAGTGCCACCTACTGGGTCCCACTCGCAGATAAACTTGCAGCGGCCAATGATTGGAGCATTCTTACTGGTCTGAAGCGGCATGCTGCGGCGGGGATGGGTTAACAACGATACAACGGTGGCCTACAGGTGATGAGGCCATTCCCGCATTGCACTACAACAATCGTGGGCCGTTTCATTCGCTGCTGGGACTACACGATCAATGCTCAGGAAGCGGTAGGATCGAGCAGCCTGGAGTTGATCAGGTCATCCGCAGCGAAGTATGGACAAGACTGTATTCTCTAGACGTGTACCTGTATGTCATGAAGTGCTGCAAGACATCTACAATCACCATTCCCAACCACCTCCGTCAGCCGCAGCTCATCCACTGCATCCAGGCCCGCCATTCCGCGGCCAATCGAGGGCAGATAGGCAGGAATTTCTCGAAACCGCAGCTGCTCTTTCCAAGCTCCCAACCATCACCTCACCACTCCAACCTCTTCTCCTCCCCTCCCTACGGGGCGCCTCCTTGCCCCAATCATACATCCCACCCATCTCCACAAATGGCACCCGATCCCGCTTGACCTGCTGCATCGCTTTTCCACCCCGACGTCGACGACACTCGCATTCCTCGTCATACCCTCACTCGTCGTCATCGTACTCTCTCCCTTTTCGAGGAAGCACATCTCCCGCGTTAGGCGAGTCGGTCGACGGCAGTACCTTAAGTGCCTCAAGAGGAGGTTCATCATCCAGCGCATTTGCTTTTAGCGGGACTGCTTGCACCGCTTGCTCTTCCTCCTCGTCATCTGGAGAACGGAGGATGATGCCCAGACCGATGGCCCAGAAGAGGATGGCGGCCAGTCCACAGACGACCTGGAGCCAGGGCGTGCTTGCTAGGGAGGGCATTGTGGTGGTGGTGATAAGGCGGGCGCCCTTTGGAGGCTACGAGTTGCTGTTCCTGATGGAGCCAAGCGATTCTTCCCAATCCCGAATGCTGAATGGTGCCCGAAGCTGGTTGATATGTACAAGGAGCAGCGAGACCAGGTGGAGCTTCGGGCAATGCACAATGCTACCCAAGCACACCTGTACAACATCAGCATACGCTCGCGCCTGTTTTGTGCTCAACCTTACTGTAGTACGATCCTCTTATACCCGCCTCCTCGGCTGCCTCGGAGATTGTGTTGTAAGTCGAAAGATGAAGTCTGGATTGGTGAAGTGAGATCGGAGGTTGTTGGCCGCTCCCGAAGTTCCAGAATTCGGCAAAAGTGGACCCTCGCCCGAGCAGCGACAACGGCTCCACATGCTCGAGATATCAACAACATCCTCCCTCATCGGGCAACGACGGCGAGCTTGAAGAGAAGACATGATGATATACACGACTCGGTCCATCCCGCTCGCTGGACTCTGGTTCAAAGTTCGCCAGTTGGGGTAGAGAGTTTCAGTCGAGCAACACAACAGCGCCATGCGTCCTCCCTTGGACATGGAAAAGAACCCATCCATTATGATAGGCGTACTCGGTAGCCAACAACACCTCCAACGCCCTAAACCACTCTGTCCCAACATGCTTGACCGGAGCCACTAGGACCTCTCGGAGTGGGCAAAGGCGCCCTGTCCACCTACCTCGGCACCACCCACAACTTCACGCACTACTCCGTCAGCGAATCCGTGCGCTACTAAATGAAAGCCCACCCCTCCTTCCTGCTCGCCGTGGCGATACGGGACAAGCTCAACAACCAGGGCTTCCTTACCTCCGCCGAGCTGAATCGGTTCATCGAGTCCGCGATCGCGGAGGCGAGACGGGAGGGGAGGAGCGGGGTGTTGATCGACGGCTACCCAAAGTGCAGCGAGCAGATGGAGTCGTTCGATCTGCCCCCATAGCCTTCCGGCGAGCGGCAGACGAGCTCCGTGGACAAAGGTGAAGGCGGAGCGCCGGATCCCGTCCTCCTGTTCACAGTCTTCGGAGCGACGGCAAGGCAGCGGTATCTGGCACGTCGCGGCGTGTAGAGGTTTATGGAAGTAGAAGGCGAGGGAAGAGAATCTGCGGGAGCTGGAAAGGGTGTTGGGGGAAAGTAGGTTATGGAGGGGGGCGATGGGGGGATGAGCGGCGAAGGCGGATGAGAAGATGGCCTCTAGGCATGTGGAAGTTTATGGAAGCAGAAGACGAGGGAGGAGAATTGGCGGGAGCTGGAGAAGGTGTTAGGGCGTAGTGGGCCGTGCAAGGAGGTAATGGGAGCGTGAGAGACGGGACGGATGTCTGCGGGACTGACTCGCGGCGCATTGGTGGCCACTGTGAGAGAAGTAGGGAAGAACCATGATGTGTTTAGGCTTCCGAAGCGGCCGGCGTGGTATTCGTAAGATATGACTGGTGAAGATGCGGCTGATGGCGATGCAAGTTACCCTGGTGCCAATGTTCCAGCCTTGAACACAAGAGAATGGCAGTCGGGGGAAAAGGAAAGCAGCGAGCGAACGAGCACAGAGAAAGAGACTGGTATGAAGCGCAGTCAATCGTGAAATCGTGTTTCGAGCCTACCGCTACTGCCAGTCTCGCATTCATGTCGGCCGCGTCAGTTCAATGATGTCAGTGCAGTCGTTCCAAATCACCAGCTTCCCCGGCATTCAGCCACCTTCCTTCTCAGTCGCGACGAAGAGACACACATCCAAACCAAAGCTTCCTAGCTCATGCAAGAACAAAGACAATCCCCCAATCTTTCATCCTCCGGCTGCCTTCTGCAGGCCTTACAGTGTGCACCCGCCAACCTCGACATCCGCAGCCAACGCAACGTGCAAACGCTCTCAAGGCACTCTGGTGAACGAACCATCCTCCTCGCGCACCCACTCCCTATCCCACGGGCTCCTCCTCACCGTCGACGGTCCGAGATCAAGATTACTCACGATTCCCGGCCCCGTGCCCGCCTCCTGCGACATCATCAGCTCCAACATCGACGCCCCTCCACCTGGCGGTACCCCCGGCGCGTTCCCGTACACCTTCTCGCCCAGCATGCGCACCTTCATCGGCATCCGGTCGTCCTTCCAGTCCTCTTGAATGTCGGCCTTCTCTGAGGCGTAGTGCAACGAAAAGTTGTGGTCAGTCCGCAAGCCGTAGGCGACAGCTGCTTCGGTCCTTGCGTCGGTCCACCAGGGCGGGAGGAAGTCGGGGACGTCTTTGGCTTTGCAGAGGAAGTCGCGGAAGGCGCGCTCGGAGGTGGCGTCGTCGTGGAAGATGGTGCCGGGCATGTTGTGGACTGCATCTCACATGATTTAGCTAGAGGGCGGGTGTGGAGGGTGAGCGGGTGGACTTGCACTCCAGATTGTAGTGATCCTCCTGCCGCATTCGGATGACATCGATCAAGATCTTGAACGTCTCCTCCTCCTGCCGATCATGCAAAAAGTTGTTGTGGTAGATGGCAGTGAAGGGTTTCGCGTCAGATCGGGCGGGCTTCGCCTCGCCTTCGCCCGCCGACATCCCACGCATGCCGGCCAACATGGAGTACATCTGCTTGTGGCTGCGCCATGCCCTCTTCTGGCAGTCGCGGTTGCAGTAGGAGGCGGACTTGCACTTGGCACATTGCTTGAAGGGACCTTCAGTCTTGCCGCATTGGTCGCACTTTATTGCCGAAGGTGTGGGTGATGAGGAGGGTGCTGCGGTCTGTGGAGTGGAAGAGCCGGCGGCGATGCCATGGCGATTCTGGCAGGATGAGGGACAGGGTGAGGCAGTTCAAGGAGAGGACGAAGCACGGAAAGAGAGAGCAAAGATGCAAGGAGATCGTTTGCCAACGTTGGCGGTGAGATGAGAAATGCGCGTAAAGTGCGGGGTTCGCGCTTGCCTGGGTTCGGACGAATCTGACGAATCTGACGCGCTAGCACGTGCAAATGGTTCTGTTGAAGTCTGACGACAATCTGATCGTTTCTGGTGAAAACCGGACGGATTCTGACGATTCTGATGTTCGGTCGAGCGGAAGGTTCGAAAATACCGCAGCGTTGGACGGAAACGTCGCGCCATGGCTTGGAAGATCCAGGAAGAAGAGCCCATGCACGCGTGCGAGGGTTTGAGAATTCGAGCCATCCGGCTGGGTTGGCACGTTCACTTACCTGCACGTCTTCGGCAGTGCTGGAACCAAATCTCGGGTCGAAGTCCTGCTGTGCATCGATATTTCGGTCTGTGTCTTCTACGGCCTTGGGAAGCGATAGATGGTTGTCTTGGGATCAGTGCATCAGAGCCGTTGGGCATGTGAAGGCCGAAAACGTAGATCCAGTCCAGTATGTTGAAGGTCCTGGCATCAAATATGCGTAGGAAGCGCAAGCCGAGAGCATTGATCTCTTCCAAGGACAGCATTTTTGGCTTGTGAACCGCGATAGAGTACTTGCATCCAGCCAGCAACCAGTACGAAGTAATGTCGAACCCAAGCGAAGCAGGTTGTCATGGCGGTCGGCGTGCATGCTCCCGTGGCCTGAAAAGGTGCATGTCGTGCCGTGGACTTGGGCGTCAAGGTTGCAAGGCACAGGGTACCGAGATGGGTCAAGTTTGATCCGCAGAAGATGCTTGTTCCCAGCCACCATCGACCCCCAACACAGCTTCGCGGGACGAACTCTGTAACGCGCTGTCCTGTCGTACACGGAAGTGTCTCCCCGTGCCAGGTATACTGGTGGTGGAACCGGATATGGCGGCGTCAAGGACGTCGTGCGGCCTCTTCGAATGCGGTCCAGGATCGCTCCCGCCTCGCCTCGGACGCTGGGACGGCGCATTGGCTCAGAAGGGACCGAGATGACGGCGATCCAGAGTGTCGTACGCAGTGGCGGCGCTCAGGGTCAGGGCTGGTATGCTGGCCCGGGTGTCACTTTCGAGCTGTCATATTTGACGAGTATCGCAGATGCGTGGCAGCGCCATGGCTGTCGACCAGCATCAAGCCCCTGCAGCATGCAGTGAAGCTTTTCAATCAAATTGTCGATGCAGAGTGATCCCGGTACCGATACAACAGCCGGTGGCGATGGAGTTGTCGAGTTGTCGAAAGGAGTTGAAGTGAAGTGGTGAGCGAGCGAAAGTGAGCGGCCGGAACAACTTGCCTCCGCTCGGTCTTGGCTCCCCCGCGGCGTCATCGCAAGGCAGGCGAGGCCGAGCTCGAAACATGTGAATCTCGGACATTCGCAAACACGCAGTGAGCCTCACTCTTCCTTTATTGACGAGCCACGTATGGGCAGCTGAATGTGACGCCGCTGTCACCACGACCACTACCCATACCCTCCTCTCCACGCCCTTCCCTCGACACCGCCACCATGGCCTACGACGGTGAGCTCAGCAGTCACTCCCATCATGCCCGCACAAACACTGACCTCCAGCAGGCAATCTCCCGGCACCCACCTTCGACCTCGACACCTACGCCAACAATTACCAAGGTAGACATCACCGCCTCCTCCACCTCCAACACCCCACTGACACCACCTCCCAGGCGCCCTCCTCCCGATCCGCCTCGCGCACATCTCCACCCACTGCCCCTCCCTCTCCCGCCATGCCCTCTCCTCCGCCATCGACGCCGCCAAGCAGGGCAAAGATGTCCAGCTCTACGCCCGTCTGCACGACATCGCCGACCGCCTCGGCTTCGCAGACCTCGCCAAGATGGACACGGCGTGGGCGTCGAAGCAGGAAGAGGCGAATCGGAGAGAGCTGTCCAGATTAGAAGGAGAACTACGCGGCTACAAGAACAACATGATCCGCGAGAGCATCCGCATGGGCCAGGACGATCTCGCAGCACACCAACTCAGCACCGGCGGGCCCGTCCCCGACCCCAACGATCCGCATTCACAGCACACCTCCGGCTACAATGCCGCCTACCAGGCCTACGGCAAGATGCGCGACTACTGCACCACGCCCACCCACATCGCCAGCATGACCCTCCGCCTAATCTACACCTCTCTCCTCCAAGCCGTCTCCTCCCGCCAGGCCGGCGGCTCGCCCACCATGTACTACAACACCGCCGTCTCCAACGCCCACCGCATCCGCACCATCGGCGTGAAGGAAGAAGAGATGGACCGCCTCGTCCCCATCATGAACGCCTCCCTCGGCATCGCTTACCTCGGCAACGGCTCCTACCGCGACGCCGCCTCCTACCTCCTCTCCACGCACCAAGACTACGCCACCTTGGGAGCGGTCCACAACACCGACTTCCCGCGCATGGTCGCCAGCGGCAACGATATCGCCGTCTACGGCGGGCTGTGCGCTCTGGCGACGATGGACCGCGAGCAGCTCCTCACTAGAGTCCTCGGCGGGCCGTTCCGCTTCTTCCTGGAGCTGGAACCCCATATGCGCAAAGCCATCTCCCTCTACACCACCGCCAAGTACGAAGCCTGCCTCAACACGCTCCGCCACTACCACGCCGACTGGTCGCTCGACGTCTTCCTCGGCCCGCACGTCGACCTCTTATTCGCCCGCATCAGGGAGAAGAGCATCACGGCCTACTTCTCCTCCTTCTCCCAGGTCTCCCTCTCCTCCCTCGCCTCCACCTTCCCGCCCGCTCACACCACTTCCTCCGATGTTCAACACGCCATGGAGCTCGAAGCACTCTCGATGATCCAATCCGGCACCCTAGCCGCTCGCCTCGACGTCGTCAACGGCCTGCTCGTGGCCCCGCGAACGGAGGCGCGCGCGGCGACGCACGCGGATGCGAAGGCCGCGGCGGACGAGGTGGAGCGGACGTTGTTGCTCAGGTTGCAGAGGGTCAATGCGGTGGTGGCGGGGCTGGAGGTGCCGAGGGGGAAAGGTGGGGGTGCGCAGCAAGCGGGGTGGTGAGGAGGGATGTTTGATGATGAATGAATGATGATGTGCGGGATTGCTGGGGATGATGGGGTGGGTGTGTGGGTGTGTGGCATAGCGTGGCGTTTGCTGGGGGCGTTGAGGGATATATCGATACCAGGGGCTGCATATAGAGATGAAGCCGCCGCTCAGATGGCGGCGAGTAGAACGAATGGAACGACATCCCCAGAGCGTCTCGCTCCATCGCCTCTCTGTGCTTTCTCGTATATTTCTCCAGACGCGCAGCATCTGCATGATAGTTGGCGATTGCTGAAGGCGTTGAGGGATAGATGGGAGATACCACGGACGAGAGACGCCGCCACCGCCATCCCAGCGGTGCTAGACATGAATAGAAAGAAATTCAAGAGCGCAGTACCAGACACTCCCGCTCCATCACACGGTCTCGCTGGCATCTCGGGAAGAGTATGAGTACCACACGCAAAGGCGCCGGCGTGGCGGGAGGCATTGAAGGATATTTGTAGATCCTAGGAGGTGGATACCAGCGAAGCAGATCCGTCTGGAGGGCAAGCTGTGATATGATATGAAGGGGGTGAAGTTCAGGAGCACCACATTGATCTTGCTCACTTCCCGATTCCCGCCTCTGGTTTCGCTTGTCTTGAGTATCGAGCGGTATCTGCGTGACGGCTGGTGATTGCTGAAGGCGTTTCGGGATACGGAGTAGATATGAATGAAAGACGAGCGGTACCTACGAGAGAGTATTTCGCCGCTGTGTCAGCGGTGCTTGAGAGGGATGGAGAGGCTTTTGATGGACATTGAAGCGATCTGCGATGATTTGTTGGGTTGGTGGGTTGATGGGTAGAACACCGTCGTAGCACTGCCCGGTCGGACAGCCGCAAGAACAAATTACCTGAACTTTCAGTGCCTCTCGAACTAGGCGGAATCTCACCATTGGAACGATGGTCATCAGTAGGGTAGCGTACAACCAACCAGTCTCACGATGGTCTAAACCCAGCTCACATTCCCTCTGTTGTGAAGGGTTAGCTTCATCTTTATTTCTCGTGTGTTCGGTCGAAGAGTGTGCATAGGTGCAGGGTACATGTACTTACATTAGTTGGTGAACAATCCAACGCTTACCGAGTTCTGCTTCTGCTTCGGTATGATAGGAAGAGCCGGACTGACATCGAAGGATCAAAAAGCAACGGCGGTATGAACGCTTGGCTGCCACAAGCCAGTCATCGCTGTATAGGTGTTAGCATGTTATTGTGGATATGGGTTGTAGGTAGGTGAAAGGACGAACCTGTGGTAACCTTTCTGGCACCTCTTGCCTCAAATTTCGAGGGACTACCAGAGAGGATGGAGAAGCCGCACTGTTATTGTTTGTGTTCACACTGAGGATTACAATCAAGGGGACAGGATTTGTGCCCTTTTGCTCTACTGGAGCTTTCTGTTCTCCATGAGTCCGTCTTAGATGTAGTTAGCATTAGTTTGGTTGGAAGGTGGTAGTTGCATGGGATGTTTCTTACCTTAGGACACCTACGTTGTAGGTTGCCAGATGTGCCGCTGTAGCAAGCTCATTATGTGGCAATGTCGTCAGGTGGGCGAGGTGAGTGCTATTGCGGCCGGCTTCATCAACGTGAACTGAATTCGAACGGCGAAGCGATGGGCTGGAATGGAGTGGCCAGACTCGTAGAGGGAGCCGCCAACACGCTTGCATTCTCGGTGATGCTCTGTGTCTGCCTGCAACTGCCACGCAAAGCTTTCCTTGCTTCCGCCCTTTCTACTTCTCTCCGCTTTCCCGCGGTAAAGATCCAGGGAGAGCCTGCTGGAGGAGTCTTGGTTGCTCCAACTATTGCCTGAGTCTGAAGAGCGACACGTTCGGACCCAATGCTGCCGTCCGGCAAGCATGTATGTAGCCTCGTGCTAAACCACCGCACTGGCCACATTGACGTTTGGATGCCTTGCCACCCGCTCCGCTCGAGAGTTGGCAGCTGGTGTAGTAGTTCTCGCCGGAGATGGCAGAGAGGCAACTACGCTGCGCTCGACAAGACCGCTGCTTGCAACAGCAGGTGCTGATGGAGTGCTGTTGCTTAAGCAATAGGCAGAGGTGCGTAGCTTAGATGGCCAATGGCTGCGACGCGAAGTTGGTAGCCGTGACTTGCATCTTATGTCACCAATTCTTGATCTTGAGCTGTAGACTGTGCAAGCGGATTGCTGGGTTCTTGCCCTGCCGCAAGCTATGGCGCTGTACATACTCTCAAGACGCAGTAAGACCATCTATGCCTCGCCCAGGTCGGCGTCTGCTTTGATTGAGGGCAATGCAACACATTGCTCGGTCACCGTGCAGATCACCACTAGTTTTTACACGCCATCTGTAGAGTCCAAGTTTCAAGCGAATCGCCTGCTTCAAGAGGCTGGACCGTGGAATGAGTAGCTTAATGCCACGCTATCTTGCATTCGAGTATCTGGCTCTCTTGTTGATCCCACCGAAGTGTGCACCGCTGCGATTTGGTGCGCCGCGATTGTGGCCACCGCTGCCCGAGCGCTGTACAGCATGCCGTTGAGTGATTCTTAGAGGAGGCGCTATATCCTCCTACGATGCCGCCCAACGCCTTGCTTCGGTGACAAGCCCGTCAAAGTTCAGTTCTGCGAGACCTTCGGGACCGCAGCCGGCGATGTTGTATCGGTGCTCCAATATCACCAGCCATTAGCTAAAGCGATGCCCAAGCGCAATTGGGAAGAGCTGCGACTTGTGGTTGCCTTCGATTTTGAAACCTCCACGAATCAGTCGAAGTTGTTGACCTGATCGTTGAAATCGTTGAGGAAGTCCAAAAAGCTAGCATACTCGTCCGTGAACCTAACAGATTGCACACGACCAAGTTGGTTGATACACGGGATAACGCCTCTAGGTGTGCAAAGGTCGTCTAGAACCACGATGGCTCCTCGCACGTCCTCGGTATGCTGCAGTTGCTGGATGAGACGGTCGTTCACGACGTGCAGGATGGCAAGCAGGAGGAGTCCCGACTTCTTGGTGTACAACGCGTTCGAGAAGACCCGGCTGTTGTGTTCAGCAATAGACAGACTTTTCGGGGTGTCGAGGACCGGAGTTTTCGTCCCATCAATCATGCTCAAGCAACCGACACATCTCGCTCCGATCTTGGTGGCTCCGATCCATGGCAGCCAGTTCCCACAACCTTCAAGCATCTCTACGCCCTCGAAGAGATCCAGGGTCGTTCGCAAGAACGGACACGGCATTGCGGATCTCGTAGGATCTCTTATTTAGTCTGTAGTCCGCGAGGTCCGCCATGGCCAAAGCAATAATGGGCTGTGGTAGCTTTACGATGATGGAAGAGGCGGGATCGAGCTTGAGCAATGTGCTTCCGCCGAGAACATCCGATGGCAGTCTAGACTAACCCCTTCCGAACTGTAATGCAAGGAAGCGGAATGAATGAACTCAAGTCTCCATCTGTTGTTCACCGAACATCGACATGGGCTAGAATCTATAGCACGACGTTGGGTGCCTGCATCCAACCATCGTTACCAACGAAAGTTCCACGCCGGGACAAGCAGCTTCACCATTCAGGAAGCTACCTGAAGAGCTGCTAGTACTCATCCTTGACGAATGCCTCAGTACGAATCCCTTTGGACCTTTGAATGATCTGACGGCGGATGAAGCTACAATCAAGCAGGTTCTATGATACGCCAGTGGTACAAGTCACTCACACCAAGCAGGGCTCGGCAGGAAGCACCTCAAGCAGTTGCGACAGGCCTGCAGGGGGTACTCGTACCTGCCGCGCCTGCTATCCCACCTGTTCAGAATTATGCAACTGGTATCGAACGTTGAGTCCTCGAGGCGAAGTTGAAGAAGCTCGCCGTTCCACAGCCCGAAAATCGCAGACCACAAGAGAGTAAGGTAAGGCAAGCAACGGTAAGATGTTGAGGTGAGCTTGAAGAAGGTGTTGTTCCACCCTCCTACAACCGGCCTTCTATATCTATCACATCAAAACGAACGCCATGCTTAACCAACACCGAACCATGCCGCCCACCGCTGCGCTGTACTGCAGCTGTTTGAACCCCAATAATGCACCTCCCATCGCTCTGCCTCCCATCGCCACGCAGGAACACCCGGCCAAACCATGAAGCCGCACCATCTACGGCCCACTCACAGTCCCGAAACTCCCATTATCCAACCCCGTACACGCCTGCGTGCACGTAATACCCGCACACGCATCCTCCGGCGGCGCCTGCGTCGGCACCGTCCCCACCAGGCCATTATCCGCCGCGTTGTCCAACCACAGGATACTCGCGTCCGACAGCACGTTGCAGCAGCGGAAGTCGTTGATGTCGTCCACCGCCGCCGTGACAGCGACCGTGTTATTCGGCGCCGCGATGATGGTGTTGAGGTTCGTGATGACGTGGTCGCCGAACACGCGCATGAGGTCCTGGCCTGCGCACTCGAAGGCGTCCGTGACGTCCGACCCAAGGTCGCTGGTGCTGGTGAGGGTCATGAGCTGGCAGGGCTCGTCCTGGGCGTTGAGCAGGGCGGCCTGGGCATGGGATTGGAGGGTGGTGGGGTCGAGGGTGAGGGCGGTGTTGAGGAAGGCGTTGACGGCGTTGACGTCGGCGAACCATTGGTTGATGCTGGCGGCGACGGCGGTGGTGTCGGCGCCGACGACGGTTTGGACGATGCAGGTTGGGTCTTGACGTTTGGAGTGGCGCGAAGGGGCGGCGGAGGCGGCGGCTGCGAGGGCTAAAATGATGGCGGAGGTGAAGGACTTCATGGTGGTGGTTGGTGTGGTGATGGGGAGTTGTTGAGAGCTGTTTCTAGACTTCAAGATGGTATGAAATGTTGATGCTTATGCTGGAGATGTGTTTGATGCTGATACTCCTCCCTCACCTCCCTTCTCACCTCATTATATACAACCCTTTCTTCTGCTGACTTTCCTTTCTCAAAATACATACCACAGCACAATCCCCTCACCAAGCCTAGTCGTAAATCCGTCGCCGCTCCGCCCAGCCCAAATCAAGCTGCAGACCGTCAGCACTAGCATCCATAAGCACCAACCGAGGGCTGAGCGAGGGAAGCTTCGCACGCTTCGCTCCTCTCGACACCTCGCGGCCGGAATGCTTGTCTGCTATTTCGAGGTGCACGGTTGCGAATGCGCGACGGCGCCGAAATGCGTGGTGGTGATGGTTGGCGAGAGTGAGCGAGGCGTCCCATTCGGCGTACAGTACGAGAATGGAGATGGCGACGGCCGAGTGAAGAGGGTTAGGCTGGACTTTCTGAAACCCAACCTTACCAAGATCATGACGGCGAGTGTTTTTTGGTCTCGAGGCGTGCTGTTTTACAGCTGCGGTGCGATCTTTCCACGTCGTCGCCATGGTGGAATGTGCGGGTTGCCTTGTCTATGAAAGGGCCTGGATGCAACGCTGCAAGGGTCCCGACCGCTCACGACTGTGCCAGAATAGTATACAGAGGCTATAGCTGTGGCGGAAGATGAGTGAGGGTCTAATGTTCTTTGCCCAAGACTGTCACATGCTCAAGAATCTCGGACCGGTCTCTCACGACCGATCCCGAGCTCTGTGGAGGACTGGGAGTGGGCCCTCAATTGACCCGTAAGTCCGATCGCAAATGTAAGAATAGGCATGTCAATTGTTCCCTACTATTCTCGTCAACTCCCTTACAAAGGTCGAGAAAACAGACATTTGGTATCGCTGCTGGATCTAACACCCGTGAGCAAGAACACTCTCGGGCGAATGCTCCCACCGGTACAGCTCCTGCATCGGCTCCTGTTGGCGCTCACGTCAACAGGCGAGCTCCTTGCACTCGCTCAGGCCTTTCCTAAGCCGACGACTGTTTGTGAAGAGCGGGAATGGCGGCTGAGAAACATTTTGGCGAGAGCTTCGTCTGCTGACCTGGTGCTTGGATGCGGCGGCCTCAGTTGATGCTGGCACGAGAATCGCTTGTTAGAAGCAGTGACGGCGGCAATCCATTCGGCGTCTCCATGTAAGCTTTCGGCGTCTCCATGTAAGCGCGCCGCCGTGCTCGGAACACATCTGACCTCAACAGAGACTTTTCCGCAGGAACAGTTGGGTGCCATGGGCACAAGAACAAGAAGGTCAGTATGCAGGACCAACGCGCTGACTCGCTCCACACATGCCGCAAGAGCGCCGCGCTCGTGATGGCATCCTCGAAGTGCGCTTGGCAGTATCGCTTGGCCTAGACCGTTCCTCTTGCCACCAACAGCCCGCCTGACAGATGGTGTTGGACGCCGAGTAGTGCAGGCCTCTCCCTTCATACGCAGTACTGGATGCGAAAACGGAGTCTTCCACGCTGATGAGCAGCGTGTGACGAAGCTCAACTCGTCAGCAGGAGCTCAGTCTGGGGCTCTCAATCATGCGAGCTCGCGCCCACTGAGAATGGTCTCCTCACCGAAAGGGGTCGGTCAGCCGGCGGAGATGAGTTCGAGAGCGGGCGTGGTAAGTGGACCGAGACGATCTATAGCTTGGGTACCCTGATCTTCATGGAATGGACAGCTGTTCGATCCATGTCCAGCATCTCCGCGGGCATCACTGCCGCCCTGGAGACTACGTTGTCGTCCTTTCTCTACTGCTTCCAGAACAGACCCTGCCACCAAGAAGATTGCTCCGGTGCAACCACTGCAGACACCTCTTTTGAAGCACTCGGTCCCTTGCTCGCCGCTGTTTCCACTGCTCTCGTGGCCGGGGCAGCAGCCACAGGCGTCACTTCCACCGCCCTCGGCGCAGCTGCCACAGGAACCTCCCTCACAGCAGCAGGCAACGGCATCGCACCTGCCGCCCTCGCAGCGATCCTCCTCCCCAGCTCACCAGAGTCCACCGCGCTCTCCCGCGTTCCGGGCCAGAATCGCCATGTCGCCAGCGCGGTCGCTGCGCCTATCGAGAGCAGGATGCAGATACCAGCTGTGCGTAGCTCGTCCCGGAGTCTCTTGCGTTCGGTCTGCCAGGTCTGTCGTTCACGAGTGATGAGCTTGTCGGCTTTGAGATGTCGTCGCTGAGCTCGGGCAAGAGAGCGTTGGAGGTGGGATGTCTGTTGTGCTTGTTGGGATAGTAGTGCTCTGCCGATGTTCAAGGCTTTCTCGTCCCACACCCTCGCAGCATTCTTCGTATCCGCGTTCGGCCATACTGCCCGCGGCACAGCAGCTTTCGGCGGCGGACTGGGCAGTGGGTACGGGATAATCTCGCCCGTCTGGATCAGCTTGAGAGGCGGCGAGTGCTCGGTGCGTGGGAGGCGTGTGAGCTTGTTGAAGTGTTGAGTTTCGCGGGAGTTGGAGAGGGCGTTGAGGGCGAAGAGGATGCTTGCTCGTGCTGGAGGAGAGGTGGAGAAGGGGCGGTGGCTGGTGGGAGAGAGGAGTCTTGCTGTTGTTGAAGCTCGGAGGGTGGAGGGGAGGGTGGTGAGAGACATGTTGCTTAAGAAGAGAAGGTGGTTTTGCTTGAAGCGAATACAGACCTACAGCATGAAGCACGAGAAACAGAAGAGAGAGCGAGAGATGTTGAACGAGAGGTGATGTGCGGGTAATGGAAGACGAGACGATCGTGGAGCTATCGTGGGGCTGTCGTGGGGTGAGGTGGGATGCAATGGTGTGCGTAGACGTCGACATGTCTGGCGTATATTGGGTCCCGATGAAAAGAGCTGGAGAGTCGATGGTTTTCAGTTGAAAGGGGAAGACTGCACGCAAGCAGAGAGTCTGACATGTGATATCCCAAACCTCGCCTTTCGTTCAATCATGCTTACGGCAGACCTGTAGACTGTGGTTAGCGGCTCCAGTATCGACCGACCGACCACGGAGGCATCCTACTTCGGTCGTCCGGCCGTTGAGCTGCCCTACAACTGGTTGGATGTGCTGGACGATGGCTTCGAAGTGGTCAATGCCGCCATGGACTTACCTGGGGACTGCTGTCTCGGTCGCTCAGGCAATGTGACCTGCTCACCACTTCCGGGAGCAGCGGTCTGAAACTCACCAGCCCGGTTCCCAGATTCGAAAGACCTCGCAGCAAGCTCCTTCCTAAACTCTCGAGTCCTATCTGGCGTGCGCCGCCTCTGCCTCTCCTTGTTCGGCTCAGACCTTCTCCGCGGGAAAATCTGCTTGTCATCCATCCTAGACCGCCCTCGCTTCGCCGCCAGCTCATCATCGGACCTGGTGCTGGCAACCAAACGATCCTCAATATGCACAAACTCCCAGTAATCATGCCTTCGCTCCTCTAGGGTCCGGCCTTCTTTCAACTTCCACGCTGCGATGGAAGAAAAGTACCATTCTCTCGTCCAGTCCTCGTACGGAACTTCGCACGCTCCCCAACCCTCCTCAACGAGACGTGCAGGCAGCTGCTTTGGTGTCCAGTCAGACTCCCGCGCACCAGCGCCGATCCAATGTATTGCGATGGCACCTTCGCGGAGGTTTCGATGCACCAAAAAGCCGTGGGGACCACCCGTCCTGACAGCGAAGTGCGCCTTTTCGAGAAGGTAAGACGACTGATCCTCGAGCTCTGTACACTCGTGTGCGAGTTCCTGAGCTGCTGCGAGCTCCTCGCGGCGTTCCTCATCGTCGGTGCTCTCCAAAGCGGCGCGGATCTCGCCCAGCAGCATTTCGGAATCATCGGCATCCACGACGGCCGCCTTCTTGGCTTTGTCGAATGCGTTTTCGGCGTCTTCAAGCAGGCAATCCGAGTTCCAGAGGAAGAACTCACGTATCGCCTCAACGACGTAGGTACCCACCATCGTCTTCCTCATCTCTCCCCACTTTCTCTCAAGATTCGGAGCACACACTACCACGATGGAAGCGTAGTACTTGTCTCGGGTGTCCCATTGCATCGACTTCATTTCTCGAACGAGCTGCTGGAAGACTAGATCTTGAATCTCCTTGCCTTCGGCCTCGTCGACTGTGTTGCGAGGCTGTCTGCTTGCGCTGTCAAAACATCAGCAACTACGCTTCCACACCCGTTGTCCATGCCCATCCCAGCCAGCAGTACTCACGAAAGCGCGTTAATGTGTGCCAAAAAGCACCGCTTGTCATCCAGCGGAAAGTAGACCCCGACGCACGAGTTGCACCACAAAGTGCCTAAGACCCCGGGTCCGCCTTTCACATGCACTCTGGCTGGAGTTTCCTCCGGCTCGACGTCGAAGGCGATGGTTGCTCCGGAGCTGACCTTGACGTATAGGAAGTCGTTGGCGCCAGGGAAGAGGGCTGTGTAGTTTTGCATGACGGGTGTAGCTGAGGGGAAGAGGTGGTGACGGTCAATGGAAGGTGCAGTGCTTCGGATTGGGATCGAGGAGCTCAGCAAGGCCTGAAAGGTGGTGAGGTCGTTGGGGTATGGAGAAGCTCTGCGGCAGAGAAGAGCTGTTTCTTGACTTTCCTGGCCTGATTTGTACCATCGATACCATCTGGCGCCGGTGAATGCAGCTTCGGGTTCTCGATGAGCAAGCCGCTATGTGGCCCTGTATGGAATGAGTTGCCATAGGAAAGCGTCGTCATTCAACAGTGCTCTGTGTCACCGACGAAGCAAACATGTTGTTCCAGGTACATCTTCGGTGGTGCAAAGGTCATCTTCCTGAAGGCATCTCCGATACTTCTTCTTTTTCTTCCAATCGTGCCGCACCTCCTTTCCTTGCAAATCGCCATCGAATACCGGGAGACAATGGAAGACTCACCTCCTCCCACCATGCCGCAATCTGCGACTCTGTCGCTGAGCGAGAGCGACTTTCTATACATGCAGTACAGCTGCGGAGCTACCATCGCATTCGACAACGAAGGCCAAGACATCTCAGCTCAGGACGTACCGGCCGGTGTGCATGTCCACGGCGGCTCAGGCGCGGTCGGTACACTGTGGTTGAACACCTGTATTGGAGTGTACTTCCCGCTGGACAAAAACCGATGCTTCTTAGCTCACATCAACGCCTCGTCGTACGACATTCCCTGAGTGTATTGTCGCATGATTCTACTAATCTCCAGTGTAGTCAAAGCGAGAGGCCAAATAATGCTGTCGATGAGGCAGAAGGGCGGGAGATCCGAGAGATGGTATGCAAACGACTTCTCCAGGAATCCGAAACCATGCACTGGAATATCTTCGACTCTCTTTACGCCAGTACAATCGTGGTGTGCGCTCCAAACAAGTACCGCAAGTGGGGTGACGGTCGCGTGAAGCTGGTAGGATACTATGTCGTCAAAGGCATCAGAGACTTCTTGAAGGAACACGCCAGTTTCTTGCTGCAGGAGTCGTACGCTGCCCTCGACCGGGCGAGAGAGGAATCAGGGCTTGATTGTGAGACGGCAAGTGTGCTGCTGGACGACGTGCAAGGTGCGCTGTGCAAACCAGACGGTGAGGCACGTCGAGGTGTCCTCGAGCAAGCCAGAGAGAGCGCAGAGTTGTCCATCGCTGTGAAAGATAAGTCCACCTCCTTGTTGGCACAAGCTGCGTTCAAGGAGAAGGTCGGTGCTCACGGCTTTCTTGTGCGCCAACGTGCCGGAGAAGGCAAGCTGCTGAAGTGGGTTTCTCACGGGCGCCGATTTCGCGACTGGGCAGTAGACACCATCCCTTCAGACGTCCTGGAGGAAGGATGGACGGCTCATGAAGTGCCTCGCGAGGATTGAATCGACGCCTGGGCTTTCGAATCTTTGAAGTCGCAGAGGATCTGGCAGGCGAGGAGCTCCGAGGAACAACGGCGCTGGTACTGGAGGCGTGAGAACCTTCTCGAGCGACTGCTGAAGGACACTCAGACCGATCTTGATCTTGAGGAGTTGAGACGAGTCAGAAGCGAGACATACGACCCAAGTACGCCGTCCGCATCACGGGCTTCTTCCATGCCAGACGAAGCCAAAGCTAGGCAGCGGTCTCCATCAAATCAGCTTCGAGAGCTCCGCAAGCAGTATCGTGCGCAGCGTCCGGAGCAGGCAGAAGCAGCAACAGAGGACGACACAAAGGATGATCCCGAAGCTGATACAAATGGCTTGGCGGTCGTCGTTGCTGGAAGACCTAAGGCCCCGTGATAGAGTAGGTCGGAGTCCTCTTCTGCCGGACATCGGGCGCCCCTGAAAACATCTAGACATTCATTGGTCAGTTCGGAGAAGAGGCGACATTGATAGCGTTCGGCAGTGGCATTTCCTGCCTGGTCTTGTTGTGCGAACGGAAGTAAAGTAAAAGGTAGCCTGGATAGCATAGATAGTGGACTGCATCGAAGGATAACCTATTTACTTTTGCTGTAACATGTTCCAGAAAATATCATCTCACTCTTTGACTATAACGCCTTAGACAGGCAGCTCCTGTTAACTTCAAGCAGGAAATCCTACACCTGTGAAGCTGAGGACATCCAGACTTCGGATGCGTGAAACAGAAGAGACCAATCAGAAAAAGAGAGAAAAGATGCATGAGTACGAAAGAGACACATCGTAAGAAAAGGAAGCAAGAAAACGCGCATAACGGGCTTACCTCAATTCACCTGATCAACTCCATTGACCGTCAGCCTCACCGCCCACCCCAATACAGATCCTCCTCCGTCAACTCCTCCTCCTCTTCAATCACTGCCAGCAACCTCTCACTAGCCATCTGCTCCCGCCTTTCACCCCTCGTCTGCGCCGGACGCAAGCGCGTGAGCCTTCTCATCAACTCCTGCATATCCTCTTCCTCTTTCTCCTCCCTCTCCCTTTGCTCCTTCCTCTCCTCCTCCCGCCTCTTCGCTTCCTCCTCCCGCCCCTTCTTCCCCAGCTTCTTCAACCGAGTAATTTCCTTCTCATACCGATCATACATGTTCGTCAGAGTGAGCCACCTAGCCCACAACATCGCCTCCTCCGAAACCCTCCCGCTGGCGACGGACGGTTCGTTGTGTTCCTTTAAATGCTTGTCGAGCATCTCCCTCACCTCCTCTCGCGACGGAGGCTGCACATCGAGGGTCGGGTGGATGCCGTACCATTTGTCCGCTCGCTTGCGTGCGATAGCGGATGCGTTGGCGAGGGGGTTGGAGCGCCGGGCGTAGTCGGCGCTGTTCTGCTGGATGAGCGGGGCGATCTCGGGTGCTGGGACGGGAGCGGCGGTTTGGATCGGTGGAAGCACGCCGATGAGTGCGTGGGCGTTTGCGTGGTCGAAGAAGACTTCTGGTGGGAGGTTAAGGGCGCTCAGTAAATTGCACAGGGTGAAGCCGCTGTCCCAGCCGCCGGTGAGGAAGTACATGAACTCCGCGTCGGGGGTGTTGTGGCAGTACTGCACGATGTGGGTCGTGAATGCGATCCACTTCAAGATGGTGAGGAGGTCGAGTGTGCCGGCGTGACCGCGGAATTCGATCGTGCCGGTGGGTATGTACTTTTCCTCCCCGAACATGATCGGGTTCTGCTTTGAGCAGTTGTCGAAGTTGATGCTGCTGTTATGGCCGCATGTCACGCGGCCGTGCTCGTTTGGGATGCCGAGGATGAAGATTTTCATCACTTGTTCGATGATCCTTGTGTTCTCGATGTCGCCGAGGCGAAGGATGAGAAGGCGGTCGTCGATTCTGTGGGTATCGGTTTGAGAATCGCAGCTCGTCCTGTGGAAGACCGAAGGAGGCAGGTGGTACCGCTGAGCGTGAACTACATCCGGTGGGTTAAAAAGTGCCGGAGGCATGAAGCGTTCCGGCAAGTGGTAGGCGTCAATGTGCCGTTCGAATGCGGTCAAGAGCTGGAAGACGTTCTTGCAGGTTCGGAGTGGCATAACTTTGGTATCATTGCCAACATGATGTGGAACCCACAGTTTTCATTCGTGATGATGCGACACTTCTCGTGCTCGATCTCACGCAGGATCTGCAGCACGTTAGCAACCTCCGACTTCCAGTCGGGAGAGGAAAACGGAAACTTGCGGGAGCTAATCTCGATGGGCTCGACGATCCATCCGTCGGGCAGGAGTGAGCGCTCGGTGTCAGTCAATTCCTGAAAGTCGATGTGGACGTTCCAGCGCTGGTAGGGTTCGAATTTGAGACGATACTCTTGTAAAGCACCGTCGCTCTCATGGCCTGTTACCGGGATGCCGGCGGCGTCCAAGCGCTCGAAGATGGTGATTCCGGCGTTTCGCGAGCCATCGTGTACAGCGAAGAATTCCAGCTCGATGCCGAAGGTGAGGTCCAGGGGAGGCATGGTGGAGTGTACGAGCAGCCTGCTGCTGGTAGATTTGAGTATGGAGGTCGTTTGAGGAGGAGGAGCAGAGACTTGCCATGCAAGGAGCGCGACATGCTGGCGGGCCTTCTAGGACAAAGCCAGTACAATGGCCGGCACCATAAAGACTTGGAGGTCGGACGTCTTCTTGTCTTCTTCATCAGTCGAAGGAACAAGGCCTTGTGTCTGGCGGCGCAACTGACAAAGGCGAGAATAAAGCGTGTGCACTTGCGGAGCTCCATGCCACTGGGCCATGCTCCAACGGGGTAATGCGCCGGCAACACCATCGATCCGAGATGAGCTCTTTGTTCGGCGTCAGGAATCTGGCCCTAGGTCGTAAGAATGGTCGGATCCAGCTCAAGTCCAGGAATAGTTATAGTTCAAGCGAAAACTGTCTTACCGCGAGTGCAAGGGCGGCGAGTGCTGCAACATCCTCCTATCGAGGTATGGTAGAGTGTCCAGCTTCCATTGCGAGATGCAGTAATTAGCCAGCAATTTCGGTGTGATGTGTAGGCCTCCAGCTTCGGTATCGGCCATCTCGCTGTCCGTAGTCGATGGAGTATTATTTGATGGCCACGTAAGTGGTCCCGAATGATAGCTTGAGCAAGCCACAGAGTCAGAAGTCCAGTATCGGAAGTGCGACAAGTGCACCTTCGAGGTCCACAAGCCATCGAGAAGGTCGTTCGTACGCCGATTCCCGGCGCCGACCTGCCCTTCTTTTCTGGCACAACACTGCAGACCCGTCGCAGCTTGGCGCATATGCAAGGCCATATGCAGCGTCATATGCAACACCCACTAGCCCGATCTCCGGACTCGCCAATCGCACAGCTCGGCTCCAACTAATGCAATGTCATATGCACAGTCATATGCAACATGAGCTAGCGCGGTGAGATCATCATCCAATGGAAGATCATCGACTCTTGAACCGAAAGCCGACTGCCCACCACCGGGTGGATCGTGAGGGAGCTGGTTCATGGAAGTCGTGCATTAATATGTTCGTTTTGGCGCGAAGACACGGCAGCTTCGTGGCGAAGACGGGTAAGTATTGGCCTTGAGTCGTCGGAGCCGGCCCAGGACTTGCAGTGCGAAGAGCCTTGTGCCCGCGGATGTGTAGCTCGTCGGTGCGAGCTTTGGGCCTTGAGGAGACGCAGGTACTCCAGCGCTGGGATGTCATCTCAGCGGAAGCCCAGGAGATCGATAGACGAAGACAGCAAGTCCGGAAGAATCTGCTCACGAGATTAACACCGTGTGAATCCCAGACATCGTGGACAAATAAGAACGCTATTTGCAGTGAACCATGCCAGTGTCCATTCCTAAGTCCGTACCCGAAGGTCATCTGGAGCTCTGACTTCGCAAGTGTAGACGGAGAAGTCCAGCCAGCTGGAATGCCATGCCTTCGCACATCAATACGCCCACCTTCTCGCACATTTGCTGATCGGAGTTCACGGCGCTCTCCAGTTCTGGCCTGCGAAGGGAGATACCGGGCCAGACTGCCTTGAGGTTCGGCGCAAGAAGGTCCCACCGCTGGTCGACTGATGGAGGTCTGGTGGTCGATTGAGACCTCTGAAGAACAGCTGCATGGCTTCCACAGGAAAGACGTTTGACAGACACGCATTCGGGGCTGCCGGGACTCCTTTTCATATTGGCCGGCAGTGATCGAAGGCCTAGTCCGTGGAGTTCGGTGCAGTTGACAATTTAGGCCGTGGCAGCTTTCCGTGCTGGTAGATCGGTGCTCTCTGGTTTCGCTTCTAGATCTGTTTGCTTTTAGGTCTTGCTGAGCATGAGTGAGTCCTCCGGGAGCGTTGAAGCTCAGGGGGGTCATGTTGGTGCCGTATGGGTAGATGGCTGTTGAAGCCGTCCAGCCCTCCAACTCATGATTTTCGTAGTGCGTCACGAGATCGTGCTGAACACCGGGCTGCTGCGCCAGGAGAGTAGGCCGACGGTAGGCTTATGTAATCCCTGCCGTCGCCGCCGTCGCCGCCGCCGCCACCTACCTCTACAGTCTTACCATCTCGAGCTGGCGGAGTGGTGGCGCCGCTGGCCTCCTCGCGCTGAGGCTTCTTGGACTGGTCTATGCGTGAGCTTCTGGACCATGCTTCGAATGGCTGATGGGATACCTTGCGCTCCTCAAAGATCGGCACGTTTCCATGATCTGGCTGCGATGAAGTAGACATAGCCGCTGTCGTCCTTCCTGGCGCGGTAATGACGAGTTATAGCCATGCTGCTAGTCTGTACATCATGGTTGTACGCTGGGAAAGGAGATGCGGTCGTCAATGAAAGCTCTCGCCGTCGCTGGATCCTCTGCCGGTGCCAAGTCGACCGAGCCGCTCCCAAGCAACAACGTGAAGCTTGTCGGCGGCGGGGCCAGCATTAGTGCACCGGCCTGAACAACCTCACTTCTTCTTGCTGCTTCATTGATCAAAATGACGCCGATTTGATGAATATCAATGATGTTGGCCGTGTAATTCGAAGGAAGGGATGATGGAGAGATGCTTAATAAAGGAGACGTCGGCGACAGCGGCGGCGTCGGGCATCGGCAACGCCACCCTCCAAACGCGCGGAATCTGGCAGGTCTGACCTCGTTTCCTGGATCCAAAGGCAGGTTCGTATGGGAGACGACCTCTCGCCATGATGATTTCCTAATAATGCTCTTTCTGTTCTTGTCCTTAATACCTACCCCATCTCGTATTCCTCCAACCGTCATCGTTATCCACCTCCGCTTGTACATTCGCTGTCAACACCCCAAAGAAGCATTGAGTCCAAGAGAAGCAGCCACATCACCAGTTCAGCGCTGGAAAGGACAAGATGCGCTCCACCACCCTCACCACCACCCTCACCACCACCCTCCTCGTCGCCACCACCGTCACCGCCCTCCCCGAGCTCTCGATAGCGAAGAGGCACAAACACGGCGCCCGCCCGGTGCTGCAGAAGAGGCAGGACGATGAGATCGTGGGCACGACGGTATACGACATTATCACGTACAGCACGGGGGGTGCTTATTACGCCAATCGTATGGACATACACCCGTACAGTAAAGGGAGAGGTCATGTGCTGATATGGATGCAGTAACGGTCGGCACACCTCCGCAGAACCAGGTCGTCATTCTGGATACTGGGTCTTCCAACCTCTACTTCGACGCTTCCTCCGCTCCAGCATGCCAGACTGACGGCGCGTATGCCTGTCGAGGCGGCACCTTCTCACCCGCAAAGTCCTCCTCTTATGAGATCGTTGAGCCCGCGCCGGCATTCGTGAGTTGAAACAATACTGAGACACAAGTCATGAACTGAGAGATATTCCAGGACACCCGCTTCGGCGACGGCAGCACCGCCTCCGGCCCTTTCGCCTCGGACACTATCTGCCTCTCCGACGTCTGCGTCTCTAACGTCCAGTTCGGGGTCGCCCAGCAAGTCAAAAGCACCACCGGCTACGCCATCGGGCTGATGGGGCTCGGCTATTCCGCCAACGAGGCCACGCGGCATGAATACCCCAACATCCCGGAAGTTCTCCAAGCGTCTAGCGAGATCAACAGCCGTCTCTACTCCGTCTACCTGAACGATGAGGGCGCGACTTCGGGCTCCATCCTCTTCGGCGGGATTGATGTCAGCAAATACACCGGGCCGTTGCAAACACTGGATGTCTTACCAGATGCGAGAACACGCTACATCGACCAGTTCATCACCTCCGTCACGGCGCTCAGAACCACCGTCGCCGGCTCCAGCGCCACCATCTTCGCCAACGGCGCCACGGGAGTCGACGCCTACGCCTCCCGCAGTGGCTCTTTGCCGGTACTGCTGGACACCGGCTCCGCGGCGTGGTCCGTGCCACCGTCGGTCTACCGCGCCCTCCTCAGCCAGTTCCCCTACATCACCAACCAAGGCGTCTGCGACTGCTCGCACGCCGACTCCGACGATACGCTAACGCTCACCTTCGACGGCGCCATCGAGATCACCGTCCCCGCGAGAGAATTCATCGTTCCGCTGTACAACCGCACCACGAACGCCGCGTACACGTTCACCGACGGGGATCAGGCGTGCGTTTTCATGGTCGTGCCTTCCCGCGGGACCGGGCAAGGGTTTTTGACGCTGGGCGATGCGGTGTTGAGGAGTATGTACGTCGTCTTCGACCTGGATCAAGGCCAACTCAGCCTGGCGCAGGCGAATGTCAACTCCACCGCCTCTCCTGATGTTCGGGAGGTGGCAGCCGGACCGAACGGGGTGAAGAATGCCGCGAGCAGGGTGCAAGCTGCGCCGAGCGAGAGCGGGAGCGCGTGGCCCATTGCGCCGCAGCTTAGCGGATCTGCCACGCAAGAGTTCTCGGTGAAGACGGCGACGACGACGGTGGGGGCCGCGACGGGCACGGCGGCGGTGCCGGCGGATGCTCAGCCGAGCGAGAGTGCTAGCGCGGCGGGGCTGCGGGTGCACCCCAAACTGCCTCCGTGGATGGATTGGGGGTATTTGTGCGGGGTTGGGATGGTGGTGTTGATGCTCTTTCTGATATCGGTGCCGGTTTGGGTCTAGGTGATCTTGGGGCCGGGGGGAGGGGAGCATGCGGGAGGGAGGCATGCGGGTGGGGGGCATGATTAGCGGGGCGTTTTGTTTAGGGTTGCCAGATGCCTTGTATGCATGGCATGGACTGAGGCGTTTGTGGGTGAGCATGGGACAGCATGGCAGAGGCATGGCAGAGGCATAGGAGAGCATGAGGTGATGTCGTTTTATGCATAGGGTGGTATGGGCACTAGCTCGCTACAAGAAGACCAAACGAACATCTGTACCGCATCGCAGCGACACTCCATCGCACACAAGTCCCTCCGTATACCGCCGATGTCCTTCGCCACCTGACCGCCCCAGCCCAAGTGCTCGCCTGCCTTCCTCGATGACCCCCGTCCCGCCTTCCCAGCAACGGGAACGCGGAATTGGCTTGAAGGTCACCGCTGCTGAGAGGCAGAGCAGCAGCAGCCCACACACCCTACCCTAATAACCCTAAGAACCACACTCCCACGCAAATCTCTATCCCCGATGTGCCTCGCCATCGCTAGGATCACCACCAACGACCGCTCGCTTGCCTTGCTTGTACGCCTCTCTCATGCCTCATGTTTTGGCGACGACCAGGATACCGACCTGACTGACTAGACGCCGCTATTCTTGAAAGGCAGAGCAGCAGCAGCTCGCTTGCTCGGGTACAGTTGACAGCAAGCCGCAGCAGAAGTGACGGCGGCAGGTGAATATGGTGTTGATACTTACCACCGGCAACGAGGTAGAGTTTACGAACGGATTAGTACGGAGCTGTTGTCGATGGATCCACGAGTGTCTGCTGGGAGTAAGATACGCTACGGTACCTTTCCTCCTGCCTAGGCAGTCCGGCTGGATCTTTTCGACATCGCGGCACAAGCATACTTCTCGACGCCGCTCGTTCGTCGACGCACGCCTACTTCTTGCGGAAGCGGAAGCGCATGAGCCGGCTCCTGGAACGGCACCTAGTCACCTGTCGCTGTCGCCCGCGGCTCATGGATAGATATCACGGCAACAACAACTCCCCGTACAAATCTGCCATATTGTCACGAACCACCCCCGTCCGGCGGGAGCAAAACTCCTCTTCCCGAACCGACTTGCTACCGGATCGGCGCTCGTCGACCCAGCGGTATGAGTTTGGCTCTCAAGACTAAGCCTCTCTCGTCGCAGCCCGGTCGTCACAGAAGTATAGGTCGTCGGCTCCGACAATGACAACGACAAATCGTACATATATGGCTATATGGCTATATCGGCGCGTAATCACGAGCTCGCCACGCAAAATACCAGACCCCCCTCCCCACTACAGGTGCACGCACAACTCGCCCCCTACCTCTCCCTCAGTTACCCCTGTCCTACACCTCCTCGCCCTTCAGCAGCGCCACTCCTGAATCCTGCCATAGTACAACTCGGACACACGCCCCCTACTACTGCTACCGAAGCGTAGTTCGGACACGTATACCGGCCCTGCCTCGCGGGGCCACAGCGGGAGGCGAGCCAGCCGCCTGGCGACATAATGGACAAGGGTCAGCGGATTATGAGGTTGGTTGATTCAAGGGCTGGTTGGGGAGAGATGTAAGTACCGGTGACGTGCCCGCAGGCCCACATGCGGCGGAGGACGTAAGAGCACATCGTGTGCTGATTCTGAAGGGGTTGGGGTAGTGGGAGCGATATCGTTGGCTGGAGGCGCGTCAAAAGGCGGAGGCGATGTGAGGGGTGAAGAGTTGGAAGAGGTACGTTCGGGAGGTTTCGTTCGTGGTGTTGAGCTGTCTGGAGTTCCGCTTCGAGGACTTCGAGTCGTGGGATTGATGTTCGGGTTTCGTGGAGAGAGGGAGGATGGCGAGCCGGTGCAGCGCTGATATATGTTGGATCTGGCAGCGCATTGAATGGAGCGTCGTCTATTCACCACCGCCCTTGGCCTTTGACACCAATGGCAGTATTGCATATGGATACCCGTCGTCCACATGAATACCAGTATGCGTAACAGCGCATCCCTAACGGCGGTTTCTTTTCCTGTATCACCGCAACATCGCACGCTGCCCTGTTCCCCAAAGACCCCTGTTCAATCACATTGCTGGCTGTGAAATCAGTATTCGTTCATCAGTGACTCAGGATGAGAACAGACATTACGCTCGCTACGAGGCAGGAAATTCCGCACTTACACCACCCGCACAACCACTAACACCTGGGCCCCGGCCCAAGCTAACCCATCCTTCCCCGCCGCCCCCGACCGCACGCTTGTCCTTCATTTTCCCAGGATCACCCAAGGTATACACTATACAACGCACCGAGCGCACCACACGCTCCTTACAAACGTAGCGTCACGGTTCGGACACGGCGAGTGACCGTTCTGCAGTGCTTTGTCGCAGCGTCTGGAGAGGTGGCCGCCTGCAGAAGGCGTCAGCGGAGTTTTGGGAGTTGTTTGCGGTTTTGGAGGAGGTGCAGGGGCTCAGGGAGAGGTAAGATACCGGTGATGCAGCCGCAGGCCCAGCGGAGGCGGAGGGTGTAGAAGCACATTGCCTCTGAACCTTCGAAAGGGCTTGGGTGGTGGGGCTGGAAGGGGTTCTTGCAGAATGCAGAGGTGATCAGGTCTATGGAGGATGTGTAAGAGGCTGTCGTGGCGCTTTTGCTTGGGTCTGTTGATCTGAAATTCGTTGTGGATCAAGGGAGGGTGTGATAGCGTAGTGCGTGAGAGGAGTTGTTGATGGAGTTGAGCGCTTTCATGTGTATGAGGAGGACGGCTGGCCGTGTTGAACATCATCGCTGCCATGGTGTCCAAAGCCGGGAGCAACGGTGAATAGGCGCGGTGTAGTGCCGTTCAATGCTGTGCTGTCCGGGATGCATATCAGCCCGCTCGAAAGCGCTGTATCGACGATTCTTCTGTCTTGTTCTCTGCAATATGCCTGAACATTCGTCGCATGCTTCGCATCTTCCAACCGCAACTTCTGACAAGTCAACCACACGAGCAAACAAACAGACCTTCGCGACCATACCCATCACAACTCCGCGCCCCCATCAACGTGGCCTCCGCACCAACACCCACTCTCCACGCCCATTAAAGAAGTAAGTAAGATGTGCTGGTACGCCGTCCGCGACCTCTGGACCTGCGGCCACATAACGGGCGGCCAGCTCCTCGTCCGCTCCCACCCCGCACTCAGATGCCGATATACGTGTCCGAACACCGGTTCGATCCGGGTGATGGCTGTGCTGTGTCTGTGGTGTGCTGGGCGAAGGCGCTGGTTTGGGAGAGGGTAGTCCTCATCGTTCGAGCAGATGATGTTGGCGGAGCCAGGTTGCTGAGCATACTACGCCGGATCCTTCGACATATTCAAGTGGTCTTTATGCTTCCCTGTCCGGCATCCGTAGATGTCTTGCCATGCTGTATCACCGGAGGTAGACGAGATCTCGTTCGGCGAGATTCTGACCTCCCCTCCATATTTGGGAGGAGGGGACGGTGCTGCGGGAGCTGGTGGGTTGGCACAGCTGGTGTTGTATCTCCCCCGTGTCTGTGGGATGGTTAGTACTTCATCTCCTGAAGTGTTCGTACGGTAGGACGGTAGCGTGCGTCTTGTCGAGTTGGGTAAAGGCCTGTGCATGCGCTTCAAGCACCTAGTCATACTATCACTTGTGAATTCCTAGTACCTCCATTCGTATCCGCTTCTCCGCCGCGCTTCCCAGTGCTCCGTGTTCATGAAGAACATAGTCGTTTGTCAGCCACATTCCAGCTATGTTGGCCAGAGGCACCAGCCAAACGTCGCAGAAACCCTGTTGCTCCCACCACGAAGTCTCCGTCACCGGCGGACGTACTTGCAGCCTCTGTGTCACGAGCTCGACCTGCAGATGCTTCCGATACGGCCGTGCTCGCATTCATCACCTCCATACGGGCCTTGCAGAACTCCGAAAAGATGTAGCAGGAGAGCTGATGGAGCCGGGAGAGACTCGTCCGTGATTTGCGAGCCGTTTGTGTGACTAGCCGCTGATTCCGAGGCACTCTTTCGCCATGACGGCGGAGCTGCGCATCGAGCTGGTTGCGCTCTTAGCTAGGCCCGTCTCTGAGTACCCGATCTAGCTTACCGGGTAGAAAGATCGTATGGGATTCCGGTTGGTCGATGGACGACATGGGCGGCGTTGAATGCAAGAAGAGCTCCCCAGTCTTTCTTGAAATGCATCATCAGGCCATTGGACCCTCGCTCCTCGCCGCTGGCCTGACAAGCTGAACATGCATTGCTTCGCATAGATTCGTTCCATCGTGGAAGACCATAGTCCATGCGAGGAGAACAAGACAACCACGTCGTCCGCCATGGAGGTTGCTCATAGACTTAAAGGAATCCTGGACCTACTCATGCCGTCTACGAGAACATTCAAGCTCCGAAAAGTGCTCGGTCTGGCATCGAAAACGTAGAGGATCTGGTCTGGCCGTCTCAACAATGCCTCTCGTGGTGGTGTTGGAAGCTGAGATCCATACCGTGCTTAGTTCGGGAGTCCAAGGCGGTACATACCATTTTGACGAAGCCGGTGTTGGAGGGTTATGTGGCCTCTGGCGCTGTGGTGGACGTCTCGATTGATTGAGATTAAATCAATCTTCAGGTGGAAGAACAGATATTGGTAGCTGCAGCGGCGCTGGTGCATGTCTGCGGATGCCTAGGTGTGTATTTATTGGTGTTGAGATATGCGTAAATCCAATCCGATCTCCACAACCAGAAACGGGCTGGAGGCAGTGTAGTGTTGATCAGGTGAAGTCGCTCCTGCAAATCCACCCAGATAGGAAGCTCTGGGCCACGACTTCTGTCAACTCGCAGCGTTGTGTGAAGTCACATCTCGCGTTTCACGTTATTGAAGCTGCGTCGCAAACACAATACCGTCCCCGCTCCTTTTGTCCACCTTTCCATACACATTCGATTCGAATTGGACGACCGACCTCTGACCTTTCCACCTTCCAGCAAGCTTTTACGACTACGACACGTGACGACAGCGACGACTTCACCAACCACCGCGAGATCGAAGCCTGACTCAGCAGTTCACGTTGACGCGACCTCGCACCTCATTTCACCTCTTCACCACAACCAACAACACCGCCACCATGGTCGCCACCCGCAGGAAACCCTCCACTGCCACTGACGACGACGTCCCGCTCACCGCCGCAGCGCAGAAAGCCGCCGACAAGCTGAAGATCGACGCGAAGGGCGCGCTCGTGGGCGAGAAGATCGTGAAGCCGGCGGGCGAGACGTTCTACTGGCGCGGGCAGGGTTATCTCAAGACGGATGAGACGCCGCCCGAGTGGATGGAAGGGGACAAGTACAAGGGGAAGAGGAAGCGGGAGAGCTCGATCAAAGCTGAGGAAGGCGATGAGGAGGATGGGGAGAGGGTGGTGAAGAAGGCGAAGATTGACGAGGGAGGTGGGGAGGTGAGGGATAGGTCGAAGCAATTGACGCCCGGGCAGTTGCGGAAGCGCAGTTTTGGGATGGCGGCGAGGAAGACGGCGCCGGGGAGGAATGAGCGGACGAAGAGTGTGGGGTCGGCGAAGAACAGGCGGTTGAGCACGCCGTCGTCGGTTGTGGAGGTCAAGGATGCGGGGAGTAGGAAGCGGGCGAGAGCAGGTGAAGAATCGGAAGACGAAGAAGACCAATCGATCGCGGTGAACAAGAAGCGCGACGAAGCCATCGAAGACACCGAAGACAGCGGAGACGAGCAGATCAGCGTACCGACAAAGAAGCGCGCGCCGCCATCGAAGGCCAAGTCCACGAAACCCGCAGACCGCACCACCACCACATCCACCAAGCGCGCCCGCCCAACCACCAACCAAGACGAATCCAACGACGCACCACCACCGGCCAAGAAACGCCGCACCTTCACCGCCGACTACCTCCGCCTCGGCCTCGAAGACAAACCGTCGAAGAAGCGGACTACAATGACCAAGCGCAAGCCCGCACCCGAGAAGAAGCAGGACGATGCCGACGAGAAACCCTTCTCCTACTACGCCGACTTCACCCGCTCCGGCGGGCACGAGACGGAGTCGTGCATCCAGGCTGCGCGGCGCAGGGCGGAGGCGATGGGGTACCAGACCACCCCGCTCCCTGAGGAGACGTTCCCGAGTGAGGTCGAGAGCGAGGCTGCGGGCCAGATGGCGCCAGGCAAGGGAAGGGAGGAAGTGAGGAAGGAGGTCGGGGAGTTGGTGAAGAAGATCACGGCCCGGAATGCGCGCGCGGGCGTGTTGGGGAGGGAGTATGCGAGGGTGAAGGTTGGGAGGGCGCTGGAGGAGAAGCTTGGTGCGGTGGCGAAGGCGAAGAAGGGTGCTGTCGGAGGCGAGGAGGGGAAGGGAGGGGAGGATGTGTTGGTCGCGGGATTGGAGGCGGGTCCTGCTCGGCCGCAGCTATCCGAGGAGGGAGGGGAGGAGGGATTGCTGGCCGCAGATCTTGAGAAAGATTCTGTTCGGCCGCAGCCTTCCGAAGGAGCGCATGAGGAGGTTTCGCAGGCCGCAGTTCTTGAGAAAGGTTCTGTTGGGCCGCAGCTTTCTCAAAGAGCTCTGGAGGAGGCATTGCTGGCCGCAGGCTCGAAGGAAGATTCTGTTCGGCCGCACTGTCCCTCCAACCTCCCACCCCAGACATCCCCCGCGTTCGCTTCGACACCCCCCACCACCCACCACACAACCACCTCCCCCGCCAACCTCGACACAACCCACACCACCCTCCTCACGACCCTCTCCCCCGCCGCCAGGTCCTCGCCCGCCAACCCCGCCCCCGCCGCCTTCTCCACCCCACCGACTTCCTCCGAGAAAGGCAACTCGCGCAGCGCCTCGCCCTCCCTCTCCCTCTCCCCGGACGGCAAAGTCAAAATCATCACCGACCGCGAACGCGAGCGCCACGACTCCGCCACCGCTCCTCCCTCCTCCCCTCCCTTGCCTACACAACAAAACACCTCTTCCACCCCTCCCCCCTTGTCGTCTACCCCGAGATTGATGTTAGACGAGAAGAACAAAGCAGGCAACCCCCTCCGCTGGTCGCTCCCCGCTGCCGTCGACGGGAAAAAGAGTGAGGGACGCGCGGAAAGAAATATCTGGATGGGCAGGTTGGAGGGGGAGAGTCATGGGGCGCGGAGGCGGAGGGTGGCGAGGGAGCGGAAGGTTGTAGAGGGGTGGGGTGTTGATTTGAAGTGAGTTAGAGGAGGGGGGTTGGGGGTGATGTGGGGTTGGTGATGGGGTTTTGGAGATGAGGGGTGCAGCTGAGCGTTGGAGGTTGGAGGTGAGGTTGGAGATGAGGTTCTAGGACCAGGATGAGATGTTGATATGAATGAAAATGCCGAAGTAGGCTTCGGCATCAATGCGTTTGCCTTATTCTCCACGGTGCTCAGCTGCTGATGTTACGTTCTCAAGCTTGATAGTACCACATCAACCGTGGAGAGCTCCTTCCGGCTGCCCTCCAGCGTGCGCTTGAACCTGCCTTTTCTTGCTCCTCTCCGCTTGCACCGGCTGGTCCCTTTTGCGATGTGAAGGGCTCTCGAGAGTGTTCACGTAGTACTGAGGAGGGCGATGTAGCGTTGAGGGACGAGCCTGGTGGTCGAGAAGAAGTATGCACATGAGCTCCACGGCTAATCTAGAGGTCTACTGCGATGCAGTTCCTTCTCCTCTCCCTTCACTCGCCTGTCCGGTATCATCATCCGGTCTCCTCGTCACAGCCGACCAACAGCTCCATCCGTAGCGACCTGCTCGACGAGGAAACTACCTGTAGTGAGCCAGCCGAGCAGCACGTCTCCCAACCGCTCGATCACCAAGTTCTTGATGGCAGCGGGCCTGTCCAACACCCGGGAGACTCCCGCTGCTGCTGAATTGCAGGGCATGGCCAAGCGGGATGGGCGTGTGCCTTGCCTTGCTTGGAAGACGGTGATGATGACGACGGCCTCTTTCCGACCAAGATGTCCGAGCACGAGGCTACGATTCTGCGATTAGTATAGCTTCTCCGCAAGCCGTGTACCGTAAAACAGCATCGCAAGAGCACCTCGCCGTCGTCTTCATCGGAGCAGCTGTCCATGCGGACGTACACGCCCTGCTAAATATCGGCATCGATGTCCGCAAAGACACAGACAACATCATTCTCCCCGTGGACGTCCAGCTGCCTGCTGAAGAGCCGGGTTCCCGGAAGCGTAAGTCGGCGCTTCTACTCATGTAGGAAAAATCTAACACATAGTGGTCTGCTCGCGGAAGAGCCTGGTGGATGAGAAGGCCAACGGTTTCCACAACAATAGGAACGACGCTTTTGCAACGGCCCGTGTTCTTCAAGCGCTTACCAAGCGTCATATATCGCAACGCCCAGTACTAGACGTACTGCCCCTCTGCTTCGATACGGAGCGGAAGAAGCCGCGGGCAGGGCAGAAGTACAAGAACAAGACCGTCCCTAAAGTCGGGATGGCGTCGTTCGATGGGACGGCCTTCGAAACACAGCGGAAGCAACAAGGCGGAAGGTTTCGTGAAAGCAGGACATCCACGCTTCGCAGAGCACTAGCAATATATGCACCCGGGCCATCTGAAGAGGCGAGGTGACGTTGTCTTCCCGGCTGTACTTCATGCGCCGCATGGTGTCAGACACGGCAAGATAGAGATACGATCCGCTGTCGATGGGAGAGCGAGAGACTGGGTCTTGTGCCATTTGAACATGCCTAACTGGATGGCTCTTGGTTTTTGAAGAGCAGCATGGATGGCGTCGATGTACGGTAGGCTTGCGCATTTCGATCGGTCAGTGTTGTATCTCTCCGCCACGAACGTCCGCTTGAAGGGCTGCCCCGAAGGCCCTCGATGTCAGCCTTTGCTGCGTGGATGTCGTCTTTGCGATTTCTTTCTCACAGCTAAGGGTCTTGAGTGCTGTGTATTTCGTTGGAGTCCTGCTCGAGCTTTGCAAGATGGTACATGGCGGTCGGCATCTCTTGCTTGGCTGGCTGGACGTGATCGAAAGGCATACGTATCGTTTTCTGCAATGGCCGTTTCTGACTCTGCGCTCTCATGTTGAGGATTTGGCAGGCTGTATGTCTAAGGGCGTTTGGGTGCTGGATGATGGTTTCAAGTCACCGACGAGGAGGCGCTGTGGTGAGCGATTGACTTCTCCAGGCCTTGAACAGCTGGTCGCGCCGGACGTTGCCTTTGAGTGGTCCGATAGATTTCTGGAATTGGAGATCGCTTGAGGATGACTTGAGCCGGTCTCTGTGCTGTCGGATAGAGACATGATCGTTTCGTCGTTAGCTCGACAGTTGGATCGTGTGCCTTCACACACTCAAGTGCCGTTGCTGATTGTGCCCGGTCTCGACTGTACGCTGCCAGGTAAACGGCCAACTCCCTTGTTGAGGGCACTATGTCTTTTTGTCGTCTTAGGCAATGGTGACAGTCGGCCAGGGCTCGTCGTGAGGCCGGTAACAGTATAAGGCAGTTGCTACACTGAATGAAAGTGCCACATTGGCTGTTGAACCGGCCGTGAAGGATGAAGATACGGATAATGGGGGTTCTCGAGATCCAGAAGAACACACGGAGACCGCAGACCGGTACGAGCAAGAGAATACGGTCCCCTCCTCGCTTGACCGCTGCATCAACAACAGCAGACCATCATGAAGGCCATCGTGGCCCATCTCCAGACGAGAAGAACCAGGAGGGAACCGCAGGAAAGGGCAAGGCGGCACTGGGATCCGGTGTCTGAAGATTGCCCAACGGTCAGCCAGCTTGGTGGCAGCAGTGCAAAATCAGCTGGCGGCATGGCACTTGACAGTTTCGGCCACGAACTCGACTTCGAAAACCAGCATGAACAGTCTTCTCCTCCTTGGGAAGGGGCGCCTTGCGTGGCTTCTTCGGCTTCGACTCCGTCCCACTGCCATCGCCGGTGGTCTTTTGACAGCGCCTCCTCTGTCATAGGCTTTCTGCAGGCGAGGACTTCCCCTTGTCTGTTCGGCGCGGTGAGGGAGGGGTCAGGTTCATAGAGGACAGAAGATCTAACTTTCAGAGGACTTCACAACAACGAAAGAGGAGGGTCTGTGGTGGGAAACGGAGTGGCCCCGAACGTTCTGATCAGAGGATCATGATGGACTGACATTTTGCTGCTGACTTTCAGTCCGTGTCCGAAACAGTTAACACAACGCTCAAACTTGTGATGTCCGTCTACTCGTCTCTCTTCGATGATATGGTGGCTGTGGTCGCCCGCTTCTCACGGTACGGTGGACCTGCGTTGTGGAAGTGCGGTCCAACCTGGTCGGTCTCTTCATCGATATTGTGACCGTCAGCGTGCGTACCGCTGGTGAATCTTCCATGGCGCTCCGCCATGCCATGCGGCTACGAGGCAGAAAGAAGAGAGGTCTGCTAATAAACGCCCGCCTCCTTCAGAATATCAAGTATCTACCGCAGCTCCGAAACATCCACAGCATCCCCATGACGTACCTGAGCCTCGTGCATGACTTTGAGACCATGCTCGAATCCACGAAAGCCCGTGTCACCATCCCAGAGCTCACACGCCAGTCGAACCCAATCAAGAGTACGCACTGCGTCAAGGAAGGCGAATCCAGGTTGAAGGAACATCAGAGTCCCGAGCATCGAAGCCCTGGAAAAACGCCAGCAATCTCGAGGACAGCTCCAGCACCATGGTCTCCAAAGAACATGTCGATTTTAAAGAGAGCATCAGCGTCGCGGGTCCCCTGGATTGGAGCGCCGCGGTCGGGAAGGTCCGTGTGCAGTGTTACAGTGCTGGGATGAAGGAGGGAGAGACAGTCAGGAGGAACCATTGGGTCATGTACCTGACAAGTAGAAGTCACGTGATCAGGACCGACGTTTTCGAAGACAAAGCTGCATCACCAGCTCGATCAGCTCGACACTGCACTGCAAACCCTCAACGTCCGGAAAGAGAGAGCGGGCAAGTAGATGAGGAAGAGTGTTGCTGCTCAGAAGGAAGAGATTGCGGAGCCTGATCTTCTGCGTGCAGCACGATCGTCGATTGCAACAACGAAGCATTTGATGCTGTCCCCCTACTTCGCATAGAAGCGATACAGCTGACCATCTGCGCAGCACACGCAGTCACCGCAGCGCGTGTCCTGTGGGCTATGTGACAAGGGATGTGAAGAAGGCGAAACAGCGCACGTCGGTCGAGGCAGTCCACACCCCACCTCCACTGCACGAGTTGCGTGAGCTTCTTGATGAACATCGCTCCGAGGTGGATGCGCAGGAGTCTTTCAGTACGGAAGACACCAACATTGCTTTGAAAATTTTCAGAACAGACGCCTCCAGGTACGGCAGGATGAAGAGGTATGGAGCTTGGTGAGTGGGTTATGCCCAGGTCTTGAGCGATCGCTTCGATACTGTCAATAGATCCATAGCGGTAGACGTAGAGTGCGACTGTGGATTTGATGGCATCGTTGATGTTGAGAGGCAGATCAGTAGGCGGGTGGGCGATTGCGGTGGAGGTCGCTTGAAGCTTCAGATCTGCGTCCTGTCCATCTGCGTCCTGTCCATCATCGTCTCCGAGTACACCCCGAACCTTGCCAGGTTTCCTCGTACTAGACGGCAGCGAAAGGACTGACACCCTCCACCTGAACCTGCCTGAGGACCTGATGCAACGCAAAAAATCGAGCAGGGTTCCGTTTTCCTGTCATCGATGGGCTTGATAGTGTCCTAGTGCTTGATGTAGACGTTGGACGCCGGACCCTTCTCACCCACGGCGACTTATGCCAGGGTATTCGGGATCTCTTCACTGGGAGCTTGGGGACGAGCGTAGCCCGAGTCCATCGGCAATAGCCGGGATGAGTTCGTTACGTCCGTGAACGATGCACGACGGTTAGACCTGTACGCCTTCACATGTCAGGCTTCCGCTGGCACGTTCATCGGCAAAGGCTCTGTCTGAGTGAAGCTTTGCCTTGACAGAAGGCTCGTAGATCCCGTTTGCAGGCGCAGCAGGACCGGGTTGTACCATCTGTTCTCTGGCGACCGAGGGTGGAAGTTGCCCGCAACAAAACTGTGGCTCGAGAGCGTCTTTACGAGGTCGTCGATGGCCGTGAGATGTCGCCAAGAGCGAGGTGAGGATTTCATTGGTTGGATAGGCTGTTGAAAGTCTTTGTTTGGGACTTCTGAGTTGTATATTTGCGGATGATGCTGTCCCGTACCGCTTGCAGCAACATTGTATGCAAGCTGAGATACCGTGTACTCTTGACAGTGCACCAGACAAGTTGCTCGTGAGCGCTAGCATAGTTCGCGGATTGAGTGGTGCCAGAATCCCTTCCTCACTTCACACTCCCGCAGCGGGCCTTCCAGATCCTCTCGACATCCAAATAAGTGCAGCATTCCCGAGCACCGATTCCTCCGCTGTTTTGCGGATACGGCTGCGCAGCGGAACTGCAGTTGACAAGAGATCGGACAGAGTGAATGCATCAGGTCCATCCGAAGAAAGGATACGCCTGACTCGAGTGCGAGACTGAGAGAACACAAGCCGCTGACCGCCAAACCGGCGAGCAACAACCGCAGCTCGCGACCTTGACAATAGCGACAGCCAGCCAAGTCGCAATGAGACTGTGCCGCGGCATGGGCGCAGCTTGTGCTTCCCGCGAAGCTCAACACCGGCTGGGTTTCGCCCTGGGAGTGGTGCTCGTGATGCTTCTTGCTGGTAAGTCCTGCTGAAGACTCGCGCTGCTGGTCTCGGAGGCATATACGTAGCCGACAGCGCTCCTGCAGTGGCCCGTGTTGATGTCGAGGCCAGGCACAGTCTTCCAATACCATTTTCTCGAGCCAGCAGCAGCATCGCCGTACTGATAGTCCTCTGCGTGCGTAGTCGATGGTCTCTTGCGAGGACCAGCGGACCGGTTCCAACAACAGCGCAGCATTGCACCAAGCCCGCGTCCCATGAGCCCTTCCAGTCGACCGCTGGAGCAGTAAACTGTGCACACTGGCACGCCATTCTTCCACCCCGTTTCTCCCAATCCAAAGGCATCCCCAGTACGTGTACAGCTTAGCGATGCGAGAGCTCATCCATCTTCGTCTCATCCTCTTCCTCCCCAGCCACACGCTCATACCTCGGCCTTCTGCGCTCCCGCCTCCGTTTCCAGAACAGCGCGCCCCAAAGCAGCGCCACGCCGCAGAAGAGACCGCCAGTAAACACACCAAAGCCCCTCAAAGACGACCCTGCCGACGCCGACGAGCTTTCAGGATGCAGCCACTGCTGCTCTTCCGCAACAGCGTCGGGATCGAGATTCTTCGACGCCACAGTCTTCGCCACATCCGACGTATGCAGGGAGCGGCCGTTGATATCCAGAGCTTCAACGACGACGTACTTGGCGTAGCCATCATACGTAATTAGGGTCTCGAATCCGGAGCGCGGCATGATGGTGAGTGGCAAAGACTTTTCGCCTTTCTTGTCGGTTTTGGAAAGTCTCCAGCTCGCTACTTCGGTGGCACCGTTCCAGCTGGCGTAGACGGAGGTTTGGGTTATACTGGCGAAGGTGGAAGCGTTGGCGTAGATGTCGGGGGGGTATTGGGGGTCGGCGGTGAAGGGGAATTTGAAGGAGCGGTAGGTTCCTGGGGTCGGTAAGTGAGCTGAGCGCCGTATGCGAAGGGTGCCGACTTCAGTGCTATTGACGTACCAAGTTTGTGCTCTGTAAGCACTGCCTCCATGACGATCTTGCCGTCCGGTGTATGCTCGGAGTGCAGTGCTTGCTCGGACCAGCCTGCTGGATATCAGCATCATACAAAACAGCCAGTAAAGCGCACTCATGATGATGATGCAGGATTTCACACACCCATAAAAACATTGCCATTCGGCAGGGGCTGATAGCTCCCCCTCCGATAACTCTTCCCATGCTGCGGGTGATCATAACTCGCAATCACCGCCGCCGTCATATCCCTCTCACTCACCGCAATCAATAATCCCCGCGACCACTCATGTGTCGCAGGCTGCGGATCCGCTCCAGTAGCATTATCAAGGAAAGATATGATGAGGTGTGTCACGTTGTGCTCGCGGAACCGCACGTCGTGCTGGCGGGAGAATTTGAGATCGCCCATGGCGAAGTCTGAGCGGTCGCCTCCGAGGCCGTGGAGGCGCCAGAGGATGGAGCCGTCGTCGGCGGAGATTTTGTAGATGGTGTCGGAGTGGCGGGTGGAGAGGAGGTAGTGGCCGTCTGGGAGCTTGTCGATCGCGTTCGAATGACTGTGAGGACAATGGTGTTAACCGTAGAGCTGGGTAGATGGCAGTTTGAGATTGAAAGACTCACAGGTAGTCCCATGCTCCTCCCGTACACCTGTTCTCTACCGGCCCATGCGTCAAAGTGCTGTCGGACAGTGGTATCTTGCCGGTGGCGTCCCATTTGAACAGCACTTCTCCCGTCTTCACATCTCGCTCCTCAAAGCCGGGGAATGTGACACTGCATTCTCCGTCGTACCCAAGATCCTGTTTGGCGAGCTGCGCGGATGCGTGCGTGATGTTCCTTTGCCTTCAAGCGGGATCAGCATCTGCTGCAAACGGCGGACTTCTATGACGCCCATGAGGCAAAAAGCTGGTCATGAGCTTACAGGTACAAGAAGTGGCTGCCATTCTCCACCGTGTGAAAGTCATGCATGTTGTACGTCTTGCCAGTCATGCCCTCGACCACGGTCTGCTTGACCTTGTACTGCTTATCGAGGATATATCCTGCATCATAAATGGTTGGGTACATGCCATTGGAACCAAACTCCAGACCACCAGGACAACATACCTCTCCCTTCCACAGCATAAGACAACGAAAGCAGATCTTCGCCACCCACATCCATGACCCCAAAATCCATCACATTGATCCTCTTAAACATATGCGAGCCACTCCATACGAGCTCGCCGGTGCTGTCGAAGATGTGCGGGCCAATCCACGAGCCGCCGGGCTTCTTGTTGCCGTTGACCTCGTAGGGCGCGACGAACCAGTGTCCGGGCGCGACTTTGGCTTCGTCGTAGACTGAGACTTTCCAGGTTGGTACTTCGATGTCCGGCCGCTGCTGGTGTGTCAGTGTTTCCTCAGAGTTGGTGTGGTTGGCTTTGACCTACGGTGAGGAACTTCCTCATGCCATGATATTCATACTTGGGCGTTTTCTCGGCTGCAACGATCATACATGTTAAGTAGCTCAGTAGGAAGGCCACCGAGCACGTATAACGCATGCTTGATGAGGATACGATGATTCAAACGAATGAATAGAAGGACCCCTGACAACAGTAATGCCCACCAGAGAACAACGAACGGTTCTCCTGCTGGACTTCAGCACTCCTCTTCCTGTAATGGGCATGAAGCTTACCTCTCGACAATAATAATGCTAATGAGAGAAACAATGCCGACGTTGCCTCCACCCTTCTGCACTAATGCTCGATAGGACGTTGTAGTTTTCAGTGGCAAGAAGACATGGGGAGAAGATGTAACTCGATGTCTCCGCGGGAGCAAGCCGTCCTCGGTCCGACTGCTTCCGCCGCCGTCGCCAAGGCCTAGTGGGGACGCCGTGGCGGCGTCGTGGTCCCCAACATCCTTCACACTTCTTTCACACTTCCCAATTTCATCAGAACTCTCCTTACTGCTGGTCCACCATCGGTGGGAGCATTGGAATTCATACCATCCTCCTCCGCTGTTCTCGTCCTTACGTCACGGCGGCGAGGACAACGGAAGCTCAGATGCCTGTAGGAGAACACATCAGGTAGGGCACGATCCAACGAAGAAGCCAACGTCGGGCACGAATTGGCGAGGTGGAGAGTGATTAGTGTGATTAACCCGATGTCCGCGGACTCACTGTGCAATTACCCATCTTGAGAGGGGATACGACATGGCCATTTGTGGCAGAAGGCAGTTTCATCACTTGCACGGGTCGAGGAAGACGAAACCACCAACTTTCCGCATCTCATAGCCAAGAGAAAACTGACTACCAGCACCCCGAAGACCTTTCCATCGTGGGAGGAGGGATACCGCCTTCGTCGCTGCGCCAGCAGACAGGGTGCTGCTTTTCATCCACAGAATAGCATGGCTTGTTAACAAGGGCATGGCGCAGCGTACTATACCTCAAGTTGCTATTGGAGACTTGGAAGGGCATGCACTTTGAACAGGTCAGTAGCAAGACAAAAGGGCTTGCGGGGGGTATCGTGTTGGGAAATGTCACAATTACAGATCCATCATGTTCGAGCGTGACTCCAGGCAGCGCAACGCCTACGTTGTTGCCCATGCCACGGGCTCTTAGCGGAGTCCAGTCGCAATCGGATCCCGGAGCGACGCCAGTACAGCTGCACCGCAAGCCTTAAGAGAAGGCAAGCTCGTTATCACACTCGCTTGTTCCGCTGACCGTTTGTTCTCGTCCACAAGAACACCTTTCGCTCCGAGAGCTCAGCCGCCGTCTCCAAAGCGCAGGACGTCAGTACCGTCTTCTGCCGCTGCGTAAGGCTTGCCGCAGGTCGAAACGAGCAGCGTCAGCATGCCCGTGACACTCCACGATGGAAGCACCGCTGGCAAAGCAGCAGCAACTCTAATCCCATGCTAAATGCTTCCCGCCATTTGGACCACCAAGTTGCACCCAGAAGTCGAGATCCTCAAAGAGCAGCCCTGACCAAATCCGAGGACCGTCGACCACTGTTCTGACATCAAGCCTGTGTTTCTGCTCTTCTCCAGGAAGCCTGCTCTTCTCCAAGCGCACCGGCCAGCGATTTGATATCTGCCGTCTCGAAATCCGAGCGAAGCAGGTTTGCTTCATCGAAGGTCTCGCTGTCCACTCCACCTGGCAATCACCTCGCCCCGAAAACTGCTCCGAGCCGCTGCGATAGCGCTGGCGTACCGGTGTTCTCACGGATGGCCGCTGGTGATGGCTCGTACTCTAGGTTGCAGCTCGAGGACACTGGGCTCCGCGTTTTGAGTCGCCGGTGAGATGGCCATTGGGACCACATTGTCGCTGTGATGGATGCGGGATGTCTTCTGCTGGAGTGAGTGTCGGCTGGAGTGAGTGAGTGAGTGAGTGAGTGAGTGCAACTTCCGGCGCCCAAGCGTAGAGCTGCTGCATCCCATGGGTGTTTGACGCTCGGTTTCCTGGGTCGCGGTGGCAGAATGGCCAGGTGGCAGCTCGCCGCGGGAACTGCTGCGGTAACGCTGGCGTCCGCTGGTGATCGCTCGTAGTCCGAACCGCAGCTCTTCTACCCTGGACTCCGCATTTAGGTCGCAGACGAGACGACCATCACGACCAGCTTACCAATGCAGTACTTCTTCGGCTGAAGCAAGTGAGCGCAACTTCTGGGCGCAGGCGCGAAGAGGCTGCATTTCGTGCCCGCTTGCCGGTCGGTACTTTTGGTGGATTTGGTTTTTTTTCTGCAGCGTACGGCAGGTCCAACTGCAAAGCGCTCATGAAGATGTCCATCCTCGCGCAAGTCAGAATACCTCCTCTGTCTCCCGCCAGCTCTAATGAAACGGCGTCCAGTGTCAGGCGATGCCAGGAACATACTCCTGCAGCATACTTGCTCCCGGCGCTCACCTCCGCTGGCGTGATTTGCTTTCGCTTGGACTGTGCGCACCTGTCAGCGTTGCCTTGTTCATGTTCTTGGGTTGGATCGATTAGGCTTACCATTCAGATTGTTCGGCTGCCGCATTGCCCTCTCGTCGCTATTTGGCCTTCTCGCGTTGGAGCGTATCAGCAACAGCTCTGTGCGCGAGTGGCGGCAGGATGCGCAGCGGCGGAGGAGAACTCGGCTCAAAGCTATGGGCTGCTTGCTGCAGAGCTCGGCGCATAGCTGTTGGCTGCTTGCTGCAAAGCTCCTCCGTTCGATCTAATGCTGCGCGAATCAGGCTCATGAGAATGTCCAGCAGCTTCGCCGAACACAGGTGATCACTTGTGATTTGAAAGCACGAGGTCCCATCGTCAAGAAGCCTCCAGGAAAAGCACTTACCCTCGCCGCTTACCTTCTCCCTCGGTCGAATTATTTCGATCCGACTTTGCGCAACAAATCGTCGTCCGGTACCTGTAGTTCTGATGAGGCCGGACTTACCTCACCACCCAGACACTGGAGCCGACTGTTCTGCACCATCGTCACTGCGGGTAGCGAGACCTGCCAAGCGCGGCGGCCGCGCGGTGCTGAGAGTGGTGGCTGCTTCGTGCATCTTGACCTTGTTGATCTTGCCGCTGAGGTTGCTCGGCCGATATCCGTACAGAAGCTGGGGTTGTTTTCTTCGTTGTCCAGCTAAAGTTGTTCGCATGCCGTCTTCGTGTTCCAGACGATGTGGGACAGCCGACGTCTTTTACCGCGCTTTCATCTCGCCGTGGAGGAGGCCCGAAGCCGGTCATGTATCTGCACGATTCGAGCTTGACGATGTTTGCAGGTTGCCGCCCATTGGTTGTCCGCAACGCCAGCTCATGCACATCCGCGGCCCAGAGCATGGGAGAGTTTCGATCCCAGGCCGATCGGCGCAGCTAAGGCGAAGAGAGAGTTTAGTCTGACGAAAGGCGTGCCTGGTCTCTCCACTCCCGCTGCTGGCCCGAGCCTCGTGAAACTCAATTATCACCACTCTCCTCGGAGTATCGTCATACCTGCACAGCAATTGGTTGGATGTGCACGACTTGGCGGACGAAGTTTCAGCAGTGCGCTGTTCCTGCACGCCGAGAAAGCTTTACCTTGCAAATGACATCGGCGGCCACTCACAACAACACCTCCCTTTGCGATCCCAATCTTGTCCGCCCAGCTGCCCGCGGAGATCGATGCCAAGTCATGAGTCTGGAGCGTTCCAAGGTTCACCGGCATGCAGAGCCCAGCATTGCTGAAGGGCAAATCATCCACCTCCACCCACCAGCGCTGCAGCGGTGCATCTGCCCCGTGGAAGAGACAGCAGCCCAGCCAGCCAGCACCCATGGCAACGCCCGCGGCTTCTCGACCCAGACTTTTTGTGGCTAATGCCCCTCCCCGTGGACGGTGTTTCGCTGCCAAGTGTGGCGAGGCCGTCTGCTACATCGACGATGTATCACAGAAAACAAAGCATACCAGGTTCAGGCTATGGAGCGTTTGGTTGGGGGTGGACGCCCGTTTGAAATGCTAGCCTCTGCTTGGTCGTTGGCCGGCAAGGTAGGATTGGATGTGGCGTTAGGTGTTGAACAGCACCAACAGTCGGTCGCGATACGTCATGCCCTCCTCGGACATCAGCTGCAAACCTTTATACCACGTCCTGAGTGGGCCGTGACGCTCCAGGAACGAAACTCTCCCGGGGCCTCACGGCAGACGCCGCACAGATGAAGCAATGCCCTGCTTTGGGTTCGCAATCTCTGCGATTGCGGCCTCTATAAGATCCATTCCCCTGCGTATTTTGATCTTGGACCTGTATTCTCACACTCGCACCGCCACAGGAAAAACACATTCACTTCTACAACAATCACTACCACCCACCACAAACAAACAACCATCAACATGTACGCCCAGTACCTCGCTCTCCTCGGCCTCGGCGCCGTCGCCCTTGCGCAAGAAGACTCGTCCTCCGGTTTCAATGGCGTCGTCCTTACCTCCCGCGAGACCTCCCTCAACGTCGACGTCAGCACCTCCTACGTGCCCGTCACCACCGCCGTCCGCAACACGGACACCGACACCCTCGTCGAGACCAACCGCCAGACCATCGCCGAGACGACCGACTTCGGCACCTCGGCTACCAACACCATCGTCCAGGTCGCAACCACCAGCGACGTGAACCTCGCCTCCGGCTACGCCTACACCACCGGCGCCAACGGCCAGACCATCGCCACCTACACTGGAACCGACCGCAACGCTCCTCAGACGACTGACTTCTCGTCCGCCGGCGCCGTGTCGTCTGCGGCGGCCGCCAGCAGTGTCGCCGTCGCCAACGGCAACAACCCTGGCAGCAACAATGGCGGCGCGTCTTCGTCCAGCGAAGGTGCCGGTGCGATGGTGACTGCTGCGCCTTACGCCGGTGCCGCCGCGTTGGCCGGTATTGCTGCTTTCCTCGCGTAAGCACTTGGAGATGTTGCGGGAATGAGATCGATGCTTGCTTTGAAAGCCATCAACGAAAAATCTTCAGCAAGGAGCGGGATCTGATTCAAGGTCAGAGGACTGGTGTACTTGTGTAGATAGATGAGGAGAGGATATTAATACCACGTCAAGCGTTACCGGGAACCATCCTGCATCCTCACTGCCACTCACACCTCCACACTTCCCGTATACTCGTAGTTCGGCTTCCATCTTCCCATCTGTAATCTCTCACTTCAGCAGGAACAAGAATACCTTACGTTCCTCCACGACGTTTCATTAGATAGAAGGTGATGATCATCACGTCCTCCTTCTCAGCTCATGCAATATCTACACAGCACACCAAAACCGTCCTGGTAGCTGCTGCTCTCCTCAACTCACCTCATCAACCCATCCGTTTCACCGCCCGGTCGTCTCGTTGCCGGCATTCCGAGCGCTAGGTGCTGGCTCGCTCGCATACAGTAGATGCAGAAGAACTTTGCGTGTGCGTGGGCACAGGATTTGACCACATACAAGACTTAGTTCCCGACGGGATCGTGACGGGGTGTCGAAAGATGTCTGGCTTGCCTAGCAGTTCAAGAGGTGAGGTCGTCGAGACCCGCCGGTGCTGTCTCCGATGCTCTTCTAGTCTATTGCGGTACATAAGAGATGCATGCGGCGGAGGAAGGACCGGGGTGGCTGATGGGTTGCTGCGCCCGTGTGATGGGATTTCATAAGGACTGTTTGCGCAGACAGCCTCGTTATGGGGATAGAAATTGGCTGGCACTTATGTCCCGAGAGAGCTGCGATTGCTTGGAAAACAGAAGATTGAATGTGGCGATCTCGCTCAACAGTGGTATGAAACCACCAGCTTGCTTGCTATGCTTAACTGACACACTCACGGCCTGCAGAAGACAACGCCTAGTCCACCCTCGTCTAGCACGGTCTTGCAGGCTAGAACTAAGTGGCGGGCTGAGAGAGGAGAGCATCTCCATCCATCACCTGCCTGCCTGCCTCCTTCGGCGCCGTACTCTGGACTATCCGTCTCCTCGCACGGCCCGATGCTTGAAGTAGCCGTTCGACGGCGGTGTGGACGGAAGCCGGGGTGGGTACGTCGATGGTAGGCAGGAAACCTTAATTTTTGCCATTCTCGAGCGTGGTCTGGGAGAGAACAATACGAGATGGCTGTGATGCGAGATAGCCGTAGTAGCGGTTGCTTGCGCCGCACTGCTAGCTCCAGCACGAAACTCTCGCTCCTTGGAGAGATGATGAGGGTCCAAGGATGAAAGTTGTCGCCTTCAATGTCGTGGAGCAGTAGAGCGGCAATGGTGCTGCGGACGAGGGGCTGACCATGAAGGAGGCTGCAGTCGCCTTGCCTTTTGCTGACTGGTGCATGAGCTCCCCGTCCAAGTTACTGCGATGGTCGCGCCGTAGCCCATGAAGGCACTGCCCACGAACGGCCGGAACTTTCTGGATAATGTGACAGCTCGCACTCATGGTCCCTGGCTTCTGAAAGTCGTGATGGGCCGGTCACATGGAATGAGAGCACTTGCCAGCCGCCGAACTGTGGTTTGGGCGACGAAAAGCCGGCGACCTGGCAGACAGCGTTTCGTGCAGGTTTCCCGCATTGCCGCCTTCGATAGGTTTTGCTCGTATGACGTCCACCGGTTGAGGTTCTGGTGCGGTTGTTCGAGCTTCGGACTCAGGCTTCGGAAATGTGCATCGAGGAGGATTCTTAGTGCTAGCATGCTGAATGGGTCTCAGCGGCTTGCTGACGACGGCCGACTTCTTCCTCCATCACCGCCTATATCGTCGCTTGAAACTCCAGTCTCTCGTATTATTACCATTGCCCAGAGACTAGATCAGCTCATCCTCCTCGTCATGCGGAGTGTAGTCAAGCTGCGATGAGCCACGAAGCATGTGATCGTTGCAGTCCTCCTTCATCTGCAGCATGGAGTAGCTCCAGTGCGACTGCAGCCGATTTCAATGCAGAAAGGTCTTGGCCCAGCTGTGTATGCTGCAACTAATCGCTACCTTTCGTCCCCTCATCGCAGCATAACTCATCGAAGCGACTCTCCCTTTGTTCACGTTGCGACCATGCCCATTTGCTTTCAAAACCCGCGTCCGGCTGAAGCGGATTTCTGGCTTCAAACCACCGGAATTGAAGAGTAAGCTAATGCGAACGAGCGAGCAAGCATGTGATCGGCGCATGTGATCGATACCGTGGTTGAGTGTCCGAAAGCGGAAGCAGCGAGCATCATCCTGTATGCAACATGCAATAACTCCGCTCCTGGAGGAGCCAATGATGTGCCGGCAAGCGAAGCTCATGGAAGCACTTCCTCCTCATCTGCAGCATACACTGTTTCGCTTGAGGCGAGGGCCGGCGGTATGTCGATCCCACGACGATGGTTCTACTGGTCGGTAAAAGCATTCGCGGAGAGCGTGACGGCTTCCCGCGACGCAGTCGCAAAGCTAGAAAGCGTCCGACGGTGTTCTGCAGCAGCCTCGCCCAGCACCGCCGACCAGCAGCATGACCCAGCGACGCCGGTCCAGCGATATTGCACTCACGGCCAGGACCAGCAATCCGATACCTACCCTCGTCCAATATCATCCAGCAGAACCGTTCGCTATGAGCCATCCGGGATCGACGAAGCAGAAAATCGCTTCTCTTTCAGCCCCATTTCTGGCAAGCAGGCGGTAAACCCACTCTCTTTACTCCAATGCCAGGAAGACTCTCTCCTGCTTCCCGCCAACTCCCTCGCACACGTATGAGGTAGTTCCATCCTCCCTTCGCCAGCAACAACTCTGATCGGCCAGAGCCGTGCTGTCACTCAACTTTCTCGCCACGCTGTCTGCTCCAGACTCGTCTCGTCTACTCCTGGCTCCTAGAGTCCTGCTTGGTCGTCCGTTGCCAGGATGCCAGGCAGCTTCCAGATTCCGAATCATGGGCGTCAGGATAGGCGTCGTAGTGCGATTGTCCCGTATGCATACCGTCTGAGTCCAGGGCTTTTCGGTTCGTCTGCTGCATGTCGCGGCGGGGATGTGTTTGCCGAGGTTTGTCTCATGCAATGAACTCTATGCCGCTTAGCTGGGTTGGACTGGCACAGCCTGGATGACCTACGAAATTGCCATACTGCAGGCATGAGTTGGCTTGCAAGCCGCTTGCTGATACTCGACACGGCTCTGGCAGTGGCCTCGCCGTAGTGCTGTAGCGAGGAGCTCTCTGGGCTAGTGCTGGCGTGCTCTGGCCCCGAGACGGGACTCCCACGCTCAACAGCAAGCCGAGGCGGGTAACGAGAGTTCTGCGACAATAGTGTGAAGAGGGAAGACAGTGCCGAAATCTCATGCCTCTCTCCTTGGCTTCTAGATTCACCTCGCCGGTGGTTCGCGGCGAGCGATCAGTGGCGGCGGCAGCGGCTGGGATAGCTAAGCAACCCCCGGTCGTTTTGATCTTGATCGATAATATTGACCCGAGGAATCGCAGGAGGAGTCTGAGAGACGAAAGAAAGGTAAAGGCACCGTAAATTGGGAGGACTTGTCAAGACTTACCACATTGACCTACTCTCGGGCATCGGCATGTTGTTGCAGAAAAGAGTGCAGTTCGAAAGGAAGTCGGTGAGTCTCGAACCGTCTTCCAGCATACCTTGATCCTATCCTCGTGCAAGACATCCGGGCTTCACCCAATTGATCTCATCATATACGCCCTGACATGTGCGCCTCGCTTGTTCCCAGCGCTTGCTTTTGTTCCCATACTCCCATACCCAGATCGTCCCATCGTACATCATGTGCAATACCCATCCGATGTACTTCGCCAGACACCGCCCGCTGTATATCCGCAAAACCTCAAATCCGCCCCTATTCGCGAAACCAAACGCTTATCCGATCATCTTCCGTCTTCTTCCCAGCTCCCCCGACTCACAGGCCGTCGGCTCCCGTACGTGCTGAAGTCCAGCGTCCCCTCCTCCACCGGACTAACGCCCGCGCTGTGCGCGTCCGCGAAAGGATCTCGTAGCGCATCATCATCATCATCCGCGTCGAAATCCCTACCCCTTCCGTTGTCTTCGCCTTCATAACTCCTCCCATCGTGACTCCCGCCATCATCTTCCCCGCCTCCAAAATCTCCACTCGCATATCCCCTTCCATAACCCCGCTCTTGTCCCTGCACGTGGCTATAAGCATGCGCAGGCGCGAACCCATCCACCACCCCATCACCCACACCCCCATGCTCATCCCCATCCTCCGGATCATCGAACGGACTCCGCTCCACCACAAACCCCGTCCCCATCCCTCCGCTTACTTGCCCGCCCGAATACCGCGGAGCCACTCCACCTCCCCCTTCTCCAGGTGCTGTAGATGTGGAATACCGATAAGGCGGCGGCGGATCCCACACGGTCGTGCCCCCCTCGCTGACACGCGCATACTCCCCGCTGACCTCCTGTCGTGTCGAACTCGCGCCGGAAGCGGACCAGGTGTCGAGGCCGGTGAAGTAGGAGGGGTTGGTTGTGGAGGGGGCTTGCGCCATTGCGGGTTGTTGTGGGGGTGGATAAGTTGTATGTGCGGATGAGGGGTGGAGGTGGCGGAATGAGCGGCGGAGACTTCGTCTCGAATGGCGGGATTTGGAGGATATTACCGCTGCTGGGGCTGCTGAAGTGGGCGCAGCGCTGCGCGGCTCGGATGGGGAGGGGCTGGGTGAGACGGAAGGGGGCGGGAAGTCTTGTCGTCGTTTTCGCCGTCGGAGAACCCAGTAGCCTAGCCCTCCTAATGCCAGAAGCACGCTTACCGGCACGATCACTGCTGCAGCTAACCCGGCGGTGGAGAGGCTGTGTTCCGCATTTTGCTTCGCGGAGACAGGGAGGACAGTCCCTTGCTGCGGTGGAGCGGAAGCGGCGTTCTTCTCGCTCTCTGTCGCCTCAGTACTTGTCCGCGTAGCGAAGCCAGAGTGTGGAGGACCATGAAGATGCGCCGTCGTGTTAGTCAGCGGCAAGACGGTACTCCATGTCCCCGTCCCAGCATCGGAGCTGCTTATACTGCTACTGCTGCTAGGGTATGTACTGCTGGTGCTGTGCGAGTATATCGGGAACAGGGAGGAGGAAGTCGAGGAGGCGGCGGGATATGAATATGAGGTGTAGGGCCATTCGGAGGAGGAGAGAGAGGAGGAGGAGGGGAGCCAGGGGTTGCGGTGGTGGGGGCGCTGCCAGGGGGGGTTGGGGGGCATTTTGGCGGGACTGCGCCGAGGGGGCGGTGTTGGTTGGGGGTCAATGGGGTGTTGGTGGTGGCCTTAAAGGGTGGTTTGATCTTCCCCACAGACGCTCGGGTAAAGTCGATGATGCGGGAGGCCTATTTTTGGCTCTCGTCTCTTCTCTTCTTTGCCTCTTTTGTTGAACAGCAACTTCGATATATCGATATCTCAATCAACCGGAACGAGTATGTTGAAGGTGTTGTTGTTGATCGAAAGGACAGAATGAAGCGGCCCGATCAACTCCACCAGCACCAGCGGTCGACGTTTCGGGCTCTGCACCCCCACGCCTTCTGGTGTCTCACGATACGAGAACGCGGCGAATAGGCCGTGTCGGGCGGCAGCAACCACTACGAGCACAGCAGACAGATACGCTGTTCTACCCGGGAGGACCGGACGGCGTCAATCCGGGTCAATTACTTGAGACGGCGTTGCGTGCGACTGCTACAGTATGAAAACGACCATTCGTGTTCCGTTTGAATGTGGACCGCCAACAACATGTTCCTGGCCGCGGCGTAGGACTACGACAACCTGGAAACTTCTCCTGAGTCTGAAGGAGGGCGTTGCGGCGGGATGATTGTTTATGGCAATGCCAGACTGGACGGCGGAACTATGACGTTTTTTTCTCTGCCACTTCGACAACAGCCATTTGCCAGCGTGGACTTGCATCCCACGAAGGGAGAGATGTGCGTGGAGGACGCAGAACGGGTGAGTTCAGGGGCTGCGTCTACCCAACGAATGAAGGATTTTCAGGTATAGTTGTCGGCTCGTAAGTAAGAATTCTTGTTCTCTCATCTCACTACATTGCAACTCTTCTTTCACCTTTCCATATCAGCTCGTTCATATGATACAGCTCTACGCCCTCTTATTGTCTCGTTTCCAGTCTAAAATGATCATTTGAACGGCGGGAGCTGCAACATTCTTGGTCCGGAGCAACAGACTGGCAGAGGTGAAGTTGCCTACGCCGCAGCCGATTTGAGATGGTTCAGTTCAGGGCGTTGCTGAAGGCGGCTGAAGGCGGATATGAGCGACTATGGAGCGGTGGTAGGAGATGCAGAGGACGTTGAATCGAATGTGCCGTTGATTACGATGGCAGGCCGGCTGAGAGCGTGGCGAAACTAACAAGTGTATACAGCAGAACAAGCTTCGCGCGCTGTTGCTTCATCCACCTTCTCGGCGAGGCCATCTTTCAACACAACCTCTTGCAATGCTACATTGCGATGCTACACCAAGCCCGCCAACCACCACCACCTCCAATGCTCTCTCCCTACAACAACCAAATCCTCTCCTTCCCCCTCGCATCCTTCTCCCCAATTCGATTTAACCGCCCATACCACCACCGCAACCCCAAACTCGTCACCACCACACACGCACTACACGCCGCACACACCGCATTCCCCGTCGTATACCCCGTCTCCTTCTCCCGATCCAGCCAAATCCACTGACTGACCAGACTCCCCACCCCGGCGAACGAATTATTCACTGCCGTCGCGATGAACATCGTCGCAATACTTGGCACGTTACACGTCACCCACGCGCTCAAAGGGTTGGCCGAGGGGAAGGCGCCCGCGGCGCAGAGGAACAGCATGCCGTAGCGGACCGCGTAGGCGTCCGCGGGGGCGCAGGCTTGGACCAGCCAGCCGATGAAGCCGACGAAGCTGCTGCAGGCGACGTGGAGGCCGCGGGCGTTGTGGCGGTCGGCGGAGTAGGCGAGGGAGAGGCAGACGAGGTAGCCGAAGATCCAAGGGGGGACGGTCCTGAACGGCATGTCAGTAAGGAGGTGTGTGGTGGTGGGGAGGTTGCAAGAGGGTATGTTTCGCTTAATCATCTCCGTTTGAGGTGGAGGAGAGGGGAGGAAGACTTACATCAAGTTCGCTCGCAGGGAGTCGTAGCCGAGCCCATTCACAATCGTCGGAGCGAAGAACGTCATACTCCCCAACGGAATCATATCGCACCTACACCACCCCAATCATCAGCCACCCATCACCACCCCACACAACCTCGCAAGAATGAAGCGCAACTCACAAATAAGCGAAAAAATGCGCCATCATCCGCGGATGAAAGCACGTGACCAACACCTCATGCCGCGACGCATGCGCCTTGGTGTACCCGCCCCCGCGCACCTTGATGCGGTCCTCGATGTACTTCTTATCGTCCTCGCTGAGCCAGCGCGCGCGGGCCGGGTAGTCCGGGACGGACCAGATGAAGAGAGGGACGCAGGCGAGGGTTATTATGCCTTCGATCAACTATTCATCCCAGAACTCAAATTAGCGGGAGTGGGATGAGGGTTTGATAGTGGAGGGGAGGGGAGGCAAGACGTACGAACAACCACCGGAACCCTTCCAGCCCGGCCGTGCCGTTGATTTGCCCGACGCCGTACGCTATGGCGCCGTTGAAGGCGCCGGCGGCCGAGGCGGAGGAGCCTACGAGGGCGATGCGGAGGGCGCGCTCTTCGACGGGGTACCACCTGGAAGCCTATCAGTAGGTGGTTGACGGAATGAGCGGGAGGGATGGGCGGACATTGTGATGAAGTAAATGATCCCGGGGTAGAAGCCGGCCTGTCATGATCACCGCAACGTTAGCAAGCCGTATCCATTGAGACCCTTTTTCACACTCTCTCTCACTCTCGAGACGAGTAGAGTAAAGTGGATCTGAAGGATAGCAAGACTGACCTCAAAAACACCAATCAAAAACCGCAACCCCACCACCTGCCCATACGTCTGAATCCCCGTGAACCCCACCGTCAACGCCCCCCACCCGAACAGCAGAAACCCCAGCCACAGCGAAGGCCGCACGTAGCGCTTCATGATCCAGTTAGAGGGCACTTCGAAGAGCGCGTACGCGACGCTGAAGAGCGAGATGGCCGTGGCGTAGCCTTTGGTGGTCGTGCCGGTGACTTGGAGGATGTCGTCGCCCGTCTCTTCGTTCATTATTCGTGCGGCGCCTGTAGGGGGAGGGGAGGAGGGTTAGCGAGTGTCTCGGACATGGTGGGCTTTGCATGGGTATGATACCAATGTTGCCACGGTCCAGGTAGTTGAGCAGGTAAATAAACGCGCACAACGGCAAAAACTTCAAATCAACCTTCCATCGCAACCGCTTCGAGCGCGCCTTATCCTCAACAAAATCCGTGTCAAGCGTGATTGTAGGCTCATCTATAAGAGCAGGGGCCGCTTTCTCGTAATCCGTAGGGGTGCTGGCTTTCTGGAGCTCAGGGTTAGCTGGGTGAAGGGAAGGGAGAAGGGGAAGGGAGGGCGGTACTTCGACGTCGCTGCCGCTGTTGCTGTTGCTGCTGCGCTCGACGTGCGCGGCGTGGTCTTTCTTCTCTTCCATCTTGATCGGTCGCCCGGATGGGTTGCTGGTGGAGTGGGGGGAGGAAGTGTCTGCTGTTTGATCCGAATGCCTCGACAACCACTCGCTCAAAAGCACATCTAGCTAGGAACAGTCCGCAGCGATAGAAGAAACGAAGCAGAAACCCGTGGACCAAGGGTACTCACGAGCTCCTCCGACCTTTTATCTACTCCGATAGTCCTAGGAGGTACTCGTTCGGGACATCAGCACGCGAGGCGCCACCGACGCTCCTCTTCCATCACCAGTCAGTATACCCGTCGGTCTTTGCCTCAAGTGCTCCACCAACTGCCGCTCTCAAGACGTTCTTCCCGAGCAGTACCCGTTGCCCGCACGTTGCCCGCGGCTTGGTGGTGGCTTGGATGCTTGGGGTGTGGATGTTGAAGTGCGGGGGAGCGAGAGGCTTGCAGGGGTGTTGGTTGGGGCGTTTGTGGGGATTTGTGGAGGATGGGGGGAGGGGAGATGCCGCCATTTGCCGGGGCTGGCTTTGTCGGGTTGGATTTTGATGGGAAGTGTTGTGAAGAGGACGAAGAGAGCCCGTGGAAATGGATTTGTCGTTGTCAAATGGCCGGCGAAAGTATCGCTACCTTCAACACCCCCAAATTCAATCCACGCCAACGAGATAGAAAGCTGACAGCTCAACTGCCCTCCCTTTCCCCCATTCCATTCCCCATCCTCATTCATGCAGTCAAGCTCCTAGCTCAACTGCCAGCTCTCAAACGCACGAAGAAACGGCTCGCGCGAGTCAGCCGTCGACGGTATTTGCTGCTTTTGCTGCTGAGCGCCGATGGATGAGGTGGAGCGGAAGATGTTCTCCAGAGTTGTTTGGACGATCGATACATGTAGACATGAATGCATGCGCTATGCGCTGTCTGGTGATGATGACAGCACGTGCGAGTTGAGCCGGGACTCCGGGGATCGTTGGCGATTGGTGATACAGTAACTGTTGGGGGAGTCAGTGATACGCCTGTCGATGATCGTAGGGCGCGTCAATGTCTCGATAAAGACCCGCTGTTGTATGTCCGACTTCTTCGGGGGGCAGAAAATCTCTGGCTCCAATTTCTACTGTTATCCCTGTTCGTGGAAGTACATCCGAGCGACGTAGCGGCGTTGAGTAAGGTAGCTCTGCCGACGACGCTGTCGACTCCGGGAGACTTGGCTAGGAATACCGGGAGCTCGAGAGTGGAGGTGGGGAGAAGTGCGTACGGCTGTACGATGCTCTCTTTTCGTTTTCTCTTAACATGATGATGCTCTAGCAACCTTTAGCAGAACTTGCAACGCTGTCAGCTCCGCGAGATTGAGCTGGAGTCTGACGGGTTTGAAACTGTAGAGCCTGCCTGCACGATGAGTATCGGGCTATCTCACCCTCCGCCTCGCCTGTAGCGAAGACGTGCTGACGATTGCTCTACGTTACTTATCTTAGGCTTGTCTGCTGGATGTGTATCCTTCAACGAATCCAGACCTCGTTCCGGCTGGGAAATAGTCCAGTATCCACCCCCCAGTAAGAAGTACCGCCAAGCTCCGAAGAGCAGCTCCGCAGCATTCACCAGAAGACATCGACTGGGTATCGACAGCCAGCGGTGATGGTGCGAGCGATGTCTGGTCGAGCCTGCCACGCCGCGGATGTCATATGAGTGATCCGCGAAGAGATTGGTGAAGAGTCCGGACGTCCTGGCGAACCTGTGTAGCGACATGGTCCGTTGCAGGCAGTTTACACCTCTAACTTGAAGGCAGATCCCATCGCTATCTCGTCCACCTCATGTTCGAAGAGATCCAGCCCGGCCCACACGGACCGGAAGCACATGCCTCAACAGCCATTATTATCACCGTGGAAGCGTCTCTCCATCCCGATCCTGATACTCTAGCCATTGTGTAGCGTTTCCTGACCCCGAGGGGTGGCCACTCCATTCCATCGAGCTTAGGAGAGGGAGTGGCGATGGTCACCATGGAAGATCGGTATAGTACCTTCTATAGTCTGCTCATACCTGCAAAGCCAGTTTATTCCTGCGGTATGTGGGAAGGGCCGAAGGGCTTGGTGGCGGCTGGTGCATGCATGCATGTAGGATGTTCTGTTCTGTTCTGTCCTGTTCCTCTTCTCTAGGGATGAGGTCTTCTCATGGGCAGGGAGCTGGCAGCGAGCGGCGGTTCTGGTGGCTGGCCGGTCTGATATGATTAGCTATCTTGCATCTGTCATGAGATCGTGAGAAGAGGTAAGCTGAGACCCGGATGGGGAGCGTGGAAGTAGGATGGAGATGGTGAGGAGGAAGCTCTAGTGGAAGTTCAGTTCGCATTGCGTACACCCGCAGCAGCCAGCAGCAGTATTAACATCATCCCATGGTATCATTTGTGAAACAAAACTCCCTTCCCCTCAACCCCGCCTTCCTTGCCGTCCATCATAGCAGTCGTATCCCTCGCCTCTCCCCCGCCTCCCCATCGCCACCTCCTCATCCTCGCGCTTCAGCAGCTCTAAACAGCCGAATGCCGTCCCCCCCTCCCCCTCCACACGAACCCCAGCCCCACCACCACCATCGTCACGATGAAGCCGATGAACTGGAAGGCCGTGTCCGCTTTGATCTCCGTGTACCGGCTGCCGGAGGCGTTGTCGAAGGTCGATTTGGAGAGGATGATGCTCAACGCCTGCCCACACCAAGCACGTTAGCTATGCTGCGGAGCTCCGCCACTTTGAAGAAAGTGAGTGGAGGGTGGAGGTAACGTACGAGACCGCCGGACAAATAAACAACCCCACTGAACGCTTCCAGGCCCAGCACGACGATGGTCGGGATCGCATCGATGAACGTCGCCACAATGCCGGCGAGAGCGGCGAGTAGCCCGAGGGCGCCGACGAAGCAGCCGTAGCCGAGGGCGGGGATGAGGCCTTGGAGGTCGCAGAGTCTGGTTCACCATTATACCATCAGCGCTTATACTATGGAGGAGCTGCGCGCCGGCGCGGAGGGGTTGTGGGGGATAAGGAGGGGTGGGAGGGCTTACTTGTCCTCGTAGACGGCGTTACAAGCGTCTTGGTACTTGGGCAGGAACTGGTACAAGTCGACGGAGGTGCCGAGGACGACGGCGGCGGAGAGGAGGAGCAGGGCGCGGAGGGCGGCGAGGATGAGCTTGGACATTTCCATCTTGTCTTAATCCTGTCTTTGCTTGGCGATGTAGTGCTGGTGGCAGTGATGAAAGATGGTGATGATCACGTGGGCAGTGATATGGGCAGTGAGCACGAGCAGTCTCTGCTTTGAGGAGACGAGAAGAGAGATGCGAGAAACGCGACAGCGAAGGGAAGTTATGTACCACCTACCTGACCCTTTCCCCTCCCCGCAGCAAGCAGTGGTGTGACTCTTCCAATCCCAAAGAAGAGACGTCGCGTGGCACAGTACAGCACAGTCAAGGCCAGGAAGGCTGTGCTGCCTGAAAGTACCGAAACACGAAAGGATATGAGTGGATGAGAATGGATGGATGGACGAGGCTGTCTCCTGGGCGGCTGGCGGCTGGCGCTTCGGGGCCGGTTTCAGGCTGGGCGGGTAGCCGGAAGGTCAGGTTTGTGTGGTGGAGGATCATTTGGCGCTGCTGCGGTGCCGCGGAGTGGACGGGGTTGGTGGGTTAGAGATGACGAGAAGTTGATTGGGAGGGAGATGTTGGTTTGGTTAGAAGGCGTGTTTGGTGGGTGAGATGGTGTCGCTTATGCTAATGGAAATGGGAGAGGGCTGACTGTGTCTACTGATCAATTTGGTAAAATAGTCTGCCTACTGTAATTAGGTGTATCCAGGATACCGCTGCCCAAGGCTGTAGTAAGGTACATCCTGACTGTTCATCGAGTAATGCTCGAATCCTGCGAGGCTGCTGCGGCGTCCAAGTCGAAGGAGTCGCTCCTTCCCAATCTATTTATGCATCGCTCCGCCACTTCCCGCCCTCCCGCTCCCGCAAAGCTTATCCTGCAGCTTCGAGCTCTGCTCAACCCACGCGACTACACCATCCCACAACGTCCACACCACTCCCCTCGCTCCACCCTCCCCCACCACCACCGCGTCCCCCCACCATGGCCGACCCCATAGATCTCACCTGGAACGAAGCCCTCTCCGGCGCCCTCGGCTCCATCTCCCTCGCCGCCTGGATCTTCCTCCTCCTCCCCCAGCTGGTCGAGAACTACCGCCAGCACTCCGCCGACGGCATCTCGCTCACCTTCCTCCTGATCTGGTTCGTGGGCGATATTACCAACTTGGCGGGAGCGGTGTGGGCGGGGCTGGTTCCGACGGTGGTCGCGCTGGCGGTGTATTTCTGTTTTGCGGATGCGGTGTTGATTGGGCAGTGTTTTTATTATTACGCTGTTAATAAGAACAAGGACAACGGACAGAAGCAAGGGGGCGCTGCGCAGCAAAACGGCACTACAGCGGGACAGGAGCAGAGCGAGCAGACACCACTATTGAACGGCACCACCCCAGCGATACCCTCCCACTCCCAGCCCAAGAGGCGACTCACAGACGTGACAGAAGAGAACCTCGGCCTCCCCGGCTCCCACCGCCGCCGCTCCTCCCGCCCCTCCACCGAACGCCGCACATCCACCCTCGACCCCCTCTTCGCCTCCCCCACCCCCCGCCTCGCCTGGCTGAAAAACTCCCTCTCCATCCTGGCCATCTGCCTCATCGGCGCCGCGGGCTGGGCACTCGCCTGGCGGACGGGTGCATGGCGTCCCACCCCCGTGGAGGAAGAAGTTGGAGGGCCGCGCGGGCCGTTGGGAGCGGAGGTGTTGGGGTATGCGTCGGCGGTGTGTTATCTGGGCGCGCGGGTGCCGCAGATTGTGAAGAATCAGCGGGAGAGGAGTTGTGAGGGGTTGAGTTTGTTGTTTTTCTGCTTGAGTGTGGTGGGGAATGCTACTTATGGGGCTGGGGTGAGTACATTCTCTCTTGAGAGTGGCGGTGCTGCGCAAGTGGGATATGCTAATGATGATTGGGTGCATCGCAGATACTCTTCCACTCCGTGCAAAAGGAGTACTTCCTCACGAATTTGCCCTGGCTGATCGGCAGTCTGGGCACGATCGCCGAGGACGTGGTGATTTTCGTGCAGTTTAGTATGTTTGGGGAGCGGGAGGAGGAAGCGGTGGTGGAGGAGTAAGATGAAGGGGGTTTTGGGATGCGGTGGAAGAGGATGGGTTTGGATGTGCTGATGCCCGGACGTAAGATTTGAGGGGAGTGTAGGGTTGGGAAGAGTGCGAGGTCGGAGGTCGGAGATTGGTTTGGAGGGGCACAAGATCGGACGCGGTGAGGATCATACGGCCTCTCATGCCTACGCGGTGAGAGACGTGTGCTGGCTACAAGACCGCATCGCGGGCACCACGAGCTCTTGAAAACCAGATTCACGGTGCTGATCCGTCTTCAAGGACTACCATCTCGCCACGAGCAAACCTCCGATCCCGGGAGCCAATCTTCGAGAACTTGAATCCGAAACCACCTTACCGGTGATATGGCTCCTTCGTATATCGAGTTTCAAAGTATGCGCTCTCCAACATCTCGAGCTCCGTGGCAGTCTCGCCCATGGGTCCCGTTTCTTCCGGACTTTGTGGTGTGTGCTGGTGGCCGGAGGGATGGCTTGCGGCGTTAAAGGCCGATCACGCAACTCTACCCTACCGCGGGAACAGCTCCTCGACATTTCGACTTTGAGAATGTGCGCTCTCCACCGTCTCGGAACCCGCGGCAGTCGAGAGCCGTATGTCCTGTTTCTTTCGGACTCTGGGATGCGGTGGCGGTGATGGGCGGGATGGGTCGCCGAGGCCGAGGCAAGGCCAGCAGCATCTACCTCACTTGGGTACTCCGAAATTCTAGATACCACAGCCATCCTGCTCGTGCACTGGTCTCGAAGCGTGGCTCCTGCTCTCAATCTGTACTCTCGGTGACGGCGATGTTAGCATCATCCGACGTCCCGCGGAGGTCACTTACACTCACAATACTATCTCGCCTCTCCATCTTTCCCGCTGGGTCTATAAGTACTGCTTTTACTCCTTTTCGATGCTGGCCTAGGCATCGAACTCGCTTCCGCATCCCTTCTTCCATACTGACTTCGAGGCCTGTACTCCACTACGGCTCTGCAGGTCCCACCACGGTGGGGGAACAGACAACTTCTGGCGCCGTAGGCGATTTGGAAACACCGAGCTTGGCGTGAGGACGCCTTGAAACCCATATTCTCCACCAAGACTACTCCCTGGGTCTGGGTCCCGCAGTGGCTATGGAGGGCACCTGGAGCTCAATCTCTTGGATGTTGACGGTGCGCATGGAAGCACGCGGCGCCCGAGGAGACTGGAGGCGTCAAGTGTACGTCAAGACTACCTGCTTAACATCTTGAGCATCTGAACGGCTCAACTGTCCCATTTCACGGCCGATTTCGAGTCGCTGCTCTTGCTTCTATAGCATTGTCTGGTATCTGCGGATGTGCTTTCCAGAGAGCTCGCGGCGCCGAAGCCGAGACTGGCAAGTAGGCAGTTGAGTGCGAGAGTAGCAGCTGCTATCACTCGAAGTCTACTACGATCTCACTCTTCAAGAGTTCCTCACTGGTCGCGAGCCACCCCTTCCATTTCCTTCAAGGTCTTCTAGAGGGAATCCTGCCGTCCAACCGCAGTCCCGAACAGCTTGTGAGACCTCCTCGAACTCGCAAATTTCTCCACCCTCTTCATCACCCCATCTTCTCACCGGATTGGGATCGCGGCCTCTTCCTCTCCCTCATCCGGATAAACCGAAACCAACACTTCGTCCACAGGTGAATGCGGATTCAGCGTTCTCCGCCTCGCTAATGATGACTCTGACTCTCGAGTCCTGGGACGCTGTCGTCAGCCCTTTGTTTGCCCTGCTTTCCCGCCAAGCGCTGGGTTCCTCCTCGAGCTCCCGTGTCGTGTGCAGCGCTGATGGCGTCGAGAGTAGCGTCCACCTTGGACTCTCAGGAAGGCCTCGCCATACCGACTCCGGTCTCGAGTACCGGCCACCGCTCCCTTCTCCAATCATGTCGGACGTTACCTGAAAGTAATCGGTGGACTCGTCTGCTTCATTCCGAGACGTGTGACTGTCGGCGTTCAGCCGGGACCTCGAAGCGTTGATTATGCTACGTACGGTTATCTCAAGGGCCGAGCACGCGGGACTGGGCCATGCGATTTCTCCACCTTAGCGTTATGGCGGACGCCAACTGCTTCGCCTCCGGCGTATATTCATTGCCTGGAGTTTAAGCAGCTGCGAGACCGCGCCGCACGCTTTCCTCTGCCTGCAGAGTACGGTTCTTGACCATCGCTCAAATTGCCCGCAGCTGGCCATCCCCACTGATCCTTTTCCAGCATACGGTATCCACATCATTCGAGCAACAGTGATCCTTCCGCTCTTGGTCTTCTTCTAGCGCCTTCCGGGCTGCGGTGAAGATATCTGCTTCCTCCTACTTCGACGTCGAGCTGCAATCGCAATGGATCACTTACCAACGTTCATAATATCCGAACCTTTCGCTACGTGTGTTCTGCTGTCCGCATCCAGGAGAGCAGCGACGGCAATCGCCGCCAGACCGTGGAGCTGTTGCCGGCCGGCGTTTAGTGTACGGAACTGCCTTATCAGACATTCTCCCTGCCTCCTCTGTTGTTAAAACATCAGCAATTGACGCAAAATGCTACTACAGCACGGCGGCTCGATTCCGAGAGCCCAGTGTCTTCATAAGCCGGCAACGAGCGCTTTCAGCACCAGCACCTCGCAATCTGCCACATCATCCACAAGGCCGATTTGGTTTGTCCTGAAGCCGCGGCCTCACGTTTTGAGACGGCGATGTGACAGGTCGTGGAAAGGGGGTCGCGGACTCTGCTGAGACATTGATTTCGCTATCCGGGGACAGAACGTGCCTGAAGACCGCGTCGAGACTTCCGGCAGCCACCCGTCTGAGACCGCCGTCATTCTTACCTTAAGGCACGGCAGTGGCATCTCATCTACGCCTGCGAGGCACACATGATTCGATGCTTATTCTGGACTGACGACTTCCGATCTGCCGCTCTCGCACTGCGGCTCCCACCTGAATTGAAGCAGTGGATGCGAGCGAGCATGCCTCTTGCACACTTTCGAATACAACTCTCCAGCGTCCGCGGACGCCAATGAGTGCTGCGCACTGCACCGCAGCCTTTCCGTCATCCAGACCTCTCTTGTGCTGTGAGTGGCAACGATTCAAGGTTCTGCCGCTGGACCGCTGCCGCTGCACACGACGCAAAAGTTCGAGAGCCTCGTCCGACCTTGATCTGGATTTGAGCAGACGAGGCGACGAGAGGTTGGCGGCGCATTGCTGCCGGGCGGCTGGAGACAAAAGCCTGTGCTTACGCTCTTGCGCAGGCTTTTGCTGGAAACAGTACCCACATCACGCCCGCACCAACTCGCGATGCACTTCGGTCGGCGAATTTAAGTCAACACTGCCTTCCGATGCTCTCGGCAGGCACAGGTCGAGCCGGCCACCGCCACGCTTCGAAACCCTCCGAATGTTCAGTAGCTATGGGCATGGCCTGCGATGAGTTTTCAAACTGTAAGCTCCAATTATGCCGGCCACCAGCGACCACAGAACATCTCCGAAGCTTCAACACACTAAGATTCCGATGTTACACAACAGCGGACTTCCAGCCTCCGGCTCTCCACTGCCACGAGAACCGGAGATCTTGATTCTCGTGCGACTCCACGCACGCCTGCTTTTCCTGGAACCAATTCCCAAGGCCGCCGCTACAATTCTGGCTTCTTGCTCGTATTTGCGTGCGCACGAGGCACGAGAACACATTCGCACTATGCTTGGCCGGTCTGGCTGTCGACATACTGGACCTGCGATTGGCTGCACCTCTTCTTAACGTTGGCTGTGGTTCTCCTTTCCGAGAGTTCAGCTTCTTCTCCTTCCACTCGTGAGGTCCGGTCGGGACACCTGCTATTGACGCCAGGCTATCCTTCAGAACTTGCCGCTTCTCCGCCAATACCCAGATGCAGAAGGATATCTCTGACCCACCTTCAGAATCCATCTCCAATGTGCATGGCGGTGGCGCAATGCCTCCTGCAGTCACTCCCGTGACGTCCATGCCCTTGCAGCCGGCAGTGCTTTGAGCTTGCGTCTTCATCCCAGGTACGAATGCAGTGCGAGCTCAGATCTCGGGAATGGTCAACTCGGGGTCGGGACATGCGTCTAGCAGATATACTCTTCACCGCCGCCTACGTTTGGTGATTCTGCTACTCCGCTCGACAGTCGCTCGTTACTCAAACCCATCCGGTCGCTTCTACTGCTTCTTGCAACCTGGCGTTCTGCTTCCCAATCATGGCAAAGACACTCTCCTTCTTCGCCGCCAGTCTGGCTTTGTTCGCATCCGCTCTCGCGGCTCCGGCACCTGCGGCATCGTCAAACATGCTCTACATCGTCACCCTCCCAACCGCTACTTACACCTTTCCCAACCTCGCGCCAGGTGAGCCGCCTGCTTCCTACTACTCCGCTTACTCTCCCGCTAACTCACGCTCCTTTCCCCAGCCGGCAGAGTCGACATGGCCGCCTACAGCACCGTCAGCGCCCAAGTCCGCATCAAAGACCTCCCCACCATCCTCAAAGCCCGCGAGGCTGAAGCGGACGCCGACGATGACGAAGATGCTTCTTCCCTGCCGGTGTTCACGCATGGCGATGTGACGTTTACGTTTCCAAATCTCGCGCCGGCGGGGACGGTGAATATGGCGGTCTACAGCACCGGGAGCGCTCAAGCCGCCGTCACCGACCTTCCTACTATCCTCAAAGCCCGCGAGGCTGATGCCGACGCCGATGCTTCATGATTCCGGTCTTCACGGGCTCGGCAAGTACGTTTCGGCGGCTTAGGACGATGGGTATGGCAATTTACAGCACTGGGGAGCAGCCGACGGCTATTGTTATTGGGTCGATTGAGAAGTGATGACTGCGGGCGGGGATGGTTTGAGGTTAGCTTCTATATGCAGGCTGAGAGCCAGGAGCGACGGTGGAGTAGAGATAATGATGGCCGGGCAGTCTCGCACAATCGAACAGCAGTCCCCCAACTGCCTTCCGCCATGCCCGTCTCTTGTCTTGGAATTAACATCGACGAAGCTTAGATTGGCAATGCAGAAGAAGGCAGAGGGGTTTCTTCGCCCGAAAGTTGATCAGTATGCTGTTTTAGAAACTGGTGATCCTCTTTCTCAGTTTCAATGTCAACGGTATTCGCTGGCGACGTGCCCTGACTCGTGCCCAAGGGATCTTGATCCCAGACAAGCGTGCGGGCACTCCCATCCAGCTCGGCACGCTTGCGATTCGTGCAAGAATCCGTCCACAACCCGGCCTTTCTAAAGCTTCTTCCAGCCCTCTGACCCATATCAATGGCCGTCCTCCATCTTATAAACATTCCTCTCCATTTCACGACCGACACAGCATGAACGAGAGCAGAGAGATACGGCCATTGGGCTTGCTGTAGGTACTTCCGCCACCTCCGGCAGGCGTTGCTGCGGGCTCTCCCTCTCCTTGACCCCGACGTCCAAGGAAAATCGGGGCTGTGTTTTGACCATCGAGCAGAGAAGTCTACTCGTCTTCCAGGCACAGTCTGGGCTTCTACAGATGCGTCGGTATGTCTTGTTGGGCTAAGGGCGCCGCTGCGGACATTTGCTGAACTGGCACAGCAAACACATGCCGCTACACCTTTCGCACGCCGGCTGGAGATGTGCAAGCAGACTTCCGAAAAGGCCTGAAAGATGTGATCCAAGCGCTGCCGGCACTCCAAGTGGGTATCAGGGACGAGGCCTCGACCAGGCCAGTCTTCGTCCTGGCCGAGTCGGTGAAGCTCTCCAACCATTTGCAGTGGCGGCAATCGTCAGCGGAAACGCCGGACGCGCAGGTCGATGATCTGAGGAAGACTCTGGAGTGGCAGCATGGCAAGGAGTGGCCGGATCTGGCCAACCGACCCCCGTGGACCGTCATCTGTTCGGAGTATCAGTCGAGAGCAGCCACTGGAAGCCGGGAGTCCTTTGTCGATGTGGATGTGACCTTTGCGGTTCATCATGCAGTTGCCGATGGTCTGAGCACCAGCGTCTTCCACAGCCGTCTGCTGGAGTCGCTCAATAAGCAGCTTAGCGGCGGCAGTGCTGGAGGAGAGAAAGACGAGGCAGTGGGGCAGGAGATGACTCTAGACTCGCCGCTGGAAGAACTGGCATCAATCAAGCCATCTTGGCTATTCTTGCTCAGGGTCCTGTGGACTGAGTTCTGGAATGATGCCGGGCCTCGCAATCCTTTCGCTGCTCCCGTGAAACCACCTTGGACCGGCGCCGTTATTTCCACTGAGCCGCAGGAAGTCAACATCCGGCTCCTGCAATTTCCTTCTGAGGTCGCGAGCGGAGCAATAGTGCAGTGTAAAGCCCACAATGTCAGCCTCACGACGCTGGTCCACGGCATCGTAGCCTACTCCTTCTCCCGCCAGCTCCCGACCGAAGCAGCAGAAAGCTTCGTCGCCCAAACCTCCATCAGCTTCCGCCCGTACATGAGCGGCGAGACGGACTCTCAGAACCTCATGGGCACATACGTCACCTCCAAACACCACCTCATCCCTGCATCAACCGTCGGTGCTATGCGCAGCGCCGCCGACGACCAAGAGCAGAGCACTGCCGAGATCTGGAAGCTGGCTTCGAGCATCAAAACCGAGCTAGACCAGCGACTCACTACTCTTCCGAATGATGACCACGTCGGCCTTCTGCCCTATGTCAACGACTGGCGTGAGCGCTGGAAGAACATGCTCGGCAAGCCGCGGGACGTTACGTGGGAGGTGTCGAATCTGGGTGTTATGTCTGGCGAGCTGGGTGCAGAGACCGGGGAGGAGGCATCGAAGTTTGAGATTACGCAGACGACGCTCACGCAGTCAGCGAATGTGGCTGGGGTGGGTTTTTCGGTCAATATGGCGAGTATGAAGGGAGGTGTGCTGTCGGTGTCGCTCTGTTGGCAGGAGGGCGTTGTGGATGCGGAGGTGATGGATGGGGTTAAGGAAGATCTTGAAGTGTTGTTGAAGAGGATTGGTGGATTGTGAGATGGTGTACCGGTTGATGTAGGAGCGTCGGCGGCTGGTGTTCGCTTCCAAGGTGGTGGAGAGAGGAAGGTAGATGGTCTGCTGGGAGATGTAAGTAGAAAGTGATATCTGACCAAAGGCAATTCCACCAGGCTGCCCTTCTACGCCGGAGGCAGGCATTCTACTCACCTTGCTTTGCTTACCTTCGTAGATCGAAAGAACGCTTAAACATCGTGCTGTCCGCCAGAAGACTCATTGCTCGGGATATGCTTGCACGATCTCTCCGATGCCGTCCCGCAAGGGCTTGTGAGGCAGATCAGCTCACTTCCGATTGCTCAGCTCATTGCGACATCAGGCCGGCAACATCTAATCACCAGTCCCGGTCGGTGAATCCCTTCGCTGCACCCCGATCTACAAATCTCGTGCTTTTGACGGCTGTCTGCTGCCGGGATTCCACCTCAAAAGCTGAGTGCCTCGAGCCTGCACGGTAACCGTCATATCGACTACTTAGAATGCAGGATGCTGCCGACTGCTGCGTCCTCAATGCCGAGCAGAGTTTGTAACCCAGTGTTGCTGCCGTTGGGTATCAGATGGGTTGGTACTGCGGAGGCCAAAGGTTGCGAGACTTTCATGGTGCTCATTAGATCTTCGGGCTTATCCCTGCCTCCTTTTGTACGCTTCATGTTTGAATTGGGATATCGTGCTCACGTCAAGCTGCATGCGCAGTGCTGATAAACGGACCAGGCCCGCCCACTCAAGAGCAAGACATGCTGGCCTTGCTGATACAGGTGGGCATGTTTGGAGGCCGATGCTTCTCTACGTCATGGAACTCCATCACAGTATTCTGCTGTTGAGTGTGGTCGCAGTCCTAGGGGTGGGCGAGAAAAGGTGTGTACTGGCGATCCCGCATCTGCGTTCTTGCAAAGTGCTCGGGAGAGGACAGAGGGAGGGTGGTTCGGCGTATGCGCAGCCTCGCCTGGTAACGGTGACGGCGCATCTGTTTGCACTCGTTAACATATGCGGCAGATTGCTCGAAGAAGGAATACCTTCATGAACGCAGAATCCCGCTCGCCCCCCCAATGTCCCTTGCTTCGAGCCGACTCGTGGCACAATCGACCATGGCCAAGCGTCATCTATCTGATGAGCGTCTTCGACGTGTCCATAGTCCGGAAGGGTCAATCCGGATTGGTTCCGCCCGACCTAACATCTCATGCCCTTGTATCCATCTTGAGGTCCAATCGTGGGTCTGTGAAACAGCCTACTGGAAGCGAAAATGGGACATCAAGACCGAGACTCACGACGTGGGCGCGGGACCAGGAGCAGCACACTTGGACGACTCCGAGCGAGGAAAAAGCGACACCGCCGCCAATGATAGAACTACCGCGAAGCTTGTGCATAGGACAGTCGCAGGCTTCGCAACAATGATGCACCTTGCAGCGAAAAGGAAACATGTCAGATATTACAGCTGTACATGCTGGTGGTCCAACTCAAGAGCACTTGAAGACATTCAAATGATATGAGAACTGTATTGTTAAATATTTTGAACAGATACACAAGCTACAACATCCTAAATACCCACATCTGCCGCCGGACCTACTGTTGTCGCCCAAAGCGCCCACCAGATCGTCTTCCGACTCTCTCACTTTCTATCTTCAGTACTTCTTGGTAAGCTGGAAAAGCTGACAGCCATTGTACTTGCGATGCCCACCACCGCGTGGCCCACCGTGTGCGCAAATCTGGTGGAACTGCGCACGGCACCACTCCGGTGGGATCCACTGGCCGCCGCAGTTGCCAGTGATGCGGGCGTGCATGTTGCCCCGTCGCGCGCCATCCTGGGCGTATTTCGATGGCACGACGATGTCGCCTTTGCTGCAGAAGGCCTCGATGGCAGCGTTAGCGTTGGCGTTCTTTGAACCGCAGACGCCGGCGTTTTCCCAGTCGTTGCTCATGGCATCGCCGTGGACGGAGGTGGCGGAGACGGCCACGAGAAGGGTGGTGAAGAGGCTGAAGAGCTGCATGACTGTGTGGTTTGTGTTTTTGGAGTGCTTGTGAGGATCAGGTTGGTTTGAGAGCTTCTTGCGGATGTGCTGGTTCTGCTTGATGCGGTGGAGAAAGGACGGGAACCAGGGCGACGGGGAGAAAGTATTTCTTCCGGCGAAGACAAAGCAGCTTCGTTGACAATTGCCAGACCCAATACCAAGATGCCGTCCTCACAAGCGTCTTTGTTCGTCCCGTGCTGATGTCAGCGAGACAAGGATGTTTGGGCAGTTCTTTGTTGTTCGCAATGCGTGATTGTGGTGGGTGTTCGGGCAACATCTTCGAATGAAGCACAGGAGGAACAATGTTGGTGGATGCTGGGTTGATCGCCGTAGGCAGCCGTGGCATCGCCAAATACATAAGCGTTGCCCCCGCTGCTTCTTCGAACTTGTATCATCGCGTGGTCACCCCAACTGATCGCATCGACTCCCAACACCACATGCATTTACTTCACTCTACTTCACAACTCTCACAGACTAGGACTTGGCGATGCTATATCCACAGTTGAAGCTCAATATATTTCACAATGAACCATCTCGACCGCACCGCCCTCACTGTCAGCCAACGACCAAAACCTACTGCCGGCACGATTGTGTTATCACACCGGAAGCCGAGAACGTCACGATCGTCGTTCAAGGCGTGATATTCAGCAAACATGGGCATCTGGTAAGCGCTGACTTTCGCATTTCTCCATGATCTGGAACGTGGCTAATGAACCCTCAGGATCGACCAGATCAATTCGCTCGCCCGCAGCTACTCAGCATGGCTCGGAGACCCCCAGTTCGCCGGACTCGTGAGCGCGAGTGTCCCCTGCCGCTCGCAATGAAAACACATGCTGACAAACACATGAAGGGCCGTCGTTAGGAGTTCGTGGAGGTGGCACTACAGGCGGAATAGACTGCTTGGTGTCGTGATCGTGACCCAACAAACCTCGCCTTGGAGCACCAATACGAGACGAATTATCATCGCCTCACGATGCTGTTGAGCGACGTGGAGGAATGACTGGAACTGCGGTACGACCTGCCACCGGTGGACTGAGTGGTGTATGGGAAGAAGGACACAATGTATGACATGTTTGTTTGCGCCGGCTCGTGTGTAGAGAGCGGATCAAGCTGGTTCTGTACCATCTGACATCATACAACTGGGGGTATGCGCTACTGACTGTATTGCAACACTATCCGACCATGAGAGTGCTTCCTTGTCTTCCTGGTGACCTTGTGCTAGCAATTCCTTTTCTCGTCTGCTTTTGCGTTGAATGATCACCATATGTGCCGTGCTGATACGATACAGGATGCCAGTGCTGAAAGGTGAGATGGTTTCGAGGAGATCGCACAGAATGGACACTGGTGTAGCGCAAGGCTATGAGGCACTGGAATGTATGGTTTGGCGCCATGGAGATCGTGCATTCCAGCCGACGTCAGAGAGTGGTGACCAACATTACTCGCACAATCAGTCTTGCTTTCCTCTTCTACCAACACTATTGCGCAAACCCTAGTACTTCCGGACTGAATCGATTATGAAGTTCTCACACACATTAATCGCGGCGGCGGCTGCTCCACTGGTTACAGCTCAGCGACCGTCCAATGAATCCATCTGCGACTACTACAGTAACCTCCTGCTCGGCGGCAGCAACGCGACGACGCAGCTCAAGCTCCTGACGCTGCTCGTCAACACCGCAGTCATCGGCAACTACAGTGAGGGCAAAGTCATGGTGCCCGGCATCCTGGCCAAGGATGCGATGTACAATGGCACCAAAGTCAACCTGGTGCCATACTTCAGCGGCGCTCTCAAGTCGACGAACGTGGGAGAGAAGCACGGCGTCTCCTACAACTTCTTAGATGGCGGCGGTGCGGCGCCGTTGGCGAAGAGCAAGCCGGCGGATGATGACACTTCTCACCAAGCGCATGTCTTTCTTCCCTGCTACTTACCACATAGTCCCGAAGCTGACCTTCTCGCAGCATCCTCCTCAACAAGCTGTACTCCTACTTCGGTGTCCTACTCGCCTGCTCAGCCATCGGCAAGGACGGTTTTCCGGCCTACAACGGCAAGACCTCCATGTACAACGTCCATAAGTACATGGCGCTCGACTCGTACGAAGTCGGGTACTTCATCGAGCAGGTCGGCCTCGCTGCTACGAGCTTTGGGGTCTCGACGGGTGATGTCGAGTTGGTGGGGTATACGTTGCAGGGTTACTTTGGGAATAAGTGTGCGCCGAAGACGAGTGTGATGTCGAAGTGGAAGAAGGAGTTGCAGAGTATCTGCATTGCGGTAGGTGAACAGTGTTGAGATCGTTTTTAAGTTGACTAACGTGGTGACGAAGGATGATTGCCCGGACTCACCGAATGCGACTTGCAAGGTGTACGGCAAGGTGGTGGAGCCGGCGGCAGTGGTTACCAGCCATTCGAACATGGCGTCTCCAACATCGAATGGAGGAGATGGAGACGGTGGAAAGGAAACGGCAGCGCCGAGTGCGACCGGGAATAATGGCGCTGCCACCCTTCAGCTCTCCGCGGTGGTTGCACTGCTGTCGGTTGGCATGCTTGCTTTCCATCTTGCTTAATTGGATGGCTGGGTGGCAGTGACTGCTGCCGATGAGAAGTCTGTACAACTGTTTCACTGCTCTCGATCACACACGCCGTCTCCATACTCATAGTGCTGTCCGTAGACCAAAGTAGGTTCGTGCTGTTTGCTTGCCTCCTTCGTTGGCGACAATTCTCATATTCAGCTTCTGAACCGTCGCAAAGCTCAGGGTGCAGACCCAAAACGTTTCTCCCCCTCCCGTCATGGGTGGCTCCGATCGGGGAGCTGCATCTACTCCCGCGCTGCATGACAAACAAGGACAGTATTTGAGCCAATACCAACAGTTATCTCTCCTCGCCTGTCCGCAGGATGGGCGTCACCAGCTTTCCTGCTAATCGTCAGGTAGCGGATGCTCCAAATCTTGCGGTCATTGAGATGGCTCACGGCAGATGTTGCGGTTCCCCTTGCTCGGCCCGAGATCGTGTTGGCCAGAAATCCCCTTGGTTTGCGTGCGGGAAAGCTTTAGAAGTTTCGAATTCTGCTCCCGTTGATTTTGCGGATAGGAAGACCCTTCTATACATGCTCCTGTCATCATGTCATGCACGCTGAGCGACTGCCTCAAAATTACTCTGATCCTAGTCTTGTTGAGTAAGACATGCGTTCGATCAACCAACGGTCCCCTTTCCGATCGATTCCTCTTGCGCTCTATTTTCTGCGATGGGATTGAGAGCCCCGCTCTCTGGACAACTAGGTGTTTTGGACTTAGACATGGGATGCTACGAACTTCCAAACCGCTGCGAGCGCCGCCGTTCTTTGTCTGGTATTCGGTATTTGGCATCAGAACCTGCTACAGAGGGCATAAGCCGTCGACGGAGGCGTATGAGCCATCGAAGCTAGTCTGAAAGATGTTGCTGCGCTCTTCGCTTTGAGGAGGGGTTGTACAGTCCTGCCTTCGGTGGTGTCGTTCGTGTGACTCCCCGCTACGTAAGTACCATCACTGCAGCTGGAACGAGAAGACCATCGCTTCGCTATACCACAGGCTTGTCAGCAAGTAGAACAATTTGGGTGACAGTCTTTAAAGGTACCAGTGAGGTCAAGATACGCTCGTCGGTAGCTCGATTTAGTGACCGCCAGCCCCACTTAATGCTTCGAGTCATCCTTCCGCTCGGTTTGGGGTTGATGTTACACCACCCACGACACCGATACGAGAGCCTTAGTCCTAAGAAGTCGCTGTTGCTGATAACAAAGGAAGCCTGTCTCGACTCTTTTCGCATACCGATGGATTTTGTCCGCGAGCAGACCAACAGGGCGCCACTCGCGCTCCTGGACCTGCCAGTCGACATCCTCACGCTGCTCCCTAAATACCTCGCCAACATCGAAGACTACTTAAACGTATCATCAACATGCAGACATCTACGGGAATGCATGTCCAAAGCGTCTCCCAACACCATCCTCCACCTCGCCGCAGCCCAGAGAAATGTCTTCTTCCGCCCAGCTCCGCACCTCCTTGTCTGCGCTACCGCGGCCCAACTCGGACAATGGGCACGCAAGTCCGACAAGAACGAAGCGGCATTGCAGGAAGCATTGCTGGAAGGTATCTACGGCATGCTGGACCTATCGCTCAAGCACTGCGGCCTCACCATGCAACGCATCCGCGAGCTCCATCTCATGCGCTTCTCGATCGTCAACCCCGTCACAGATATCATCGACAAGTGCGTCGGTGTACAATGGTACAGCATCCCGGACTTCTGGTACGGAGGAGCAAGCGATGCCTACACCATCTCTGCGGATCCGTCGGTTTCTCTATTCCATCTGGCCATCTATGGCGAGCTCTTCGCTCCCGACTTCGATTCCATACTCAATAAGGACACAACTGCACGCAGGCTAGGTGTTGACACAAGACTGGAGTACATCAAGTACTGCGTGCCAGACTGGCACACCGATGTGATTGATTACGGCGAATATGAGTCATATGACGCCGCCATCGCAGCCGGTTGCGATCCCCGCAGGGCCAACAAGCCTACTGGACCTTACCGACGCACTGATGGAGAGTGTCCTGATTTGAAGCACGATCACAACTATGCACTAAGTACGACCCTCGAGAGCAGCCGGTGGCGACCGCACTGGAAGGCTGCGAGGCAGCAAGCTGGAGGGGAGTTTGACGGGGCCTTCTTCTTCCTCAAAGACAGATGGAACTCGCACGAGGCTTGGAGACAGCGAATGTGGGAGGCTGTTTGCATCTGTCAGGGTTTAGAAGGCTTGGGCATGATGCGACCACAACTAAGGCCCCAGTGGATCGAGAAGATGAAGGAGTGGAGGGAGAGAATCGCAGCGCTAGAGAAGGAGCCCGCGGAGGTGACAGTCGGAGAGGAGAAGACACGGGAGTATCCTTTTCTGATTGGAGATCTGCTGGTGTGTGTAGATTGAAGACATCTTCCCCCGTCCCCACACTGATCTCAATGCTACATTGGCATTCATAGTCCCCCAGTAGACGAGGCTCTGCCTTCGAGACAGGCTCGCGCAGCACTGCGAAGCTAGCAGGCATCTCCTGCTGAAACCAGCCTCCATCTTCCAATACAGACCTCCGCAGTAGAAGCGAACATCGGCACGCTGTGCTCCTCCGGGAAGCTGGGTCGTCCAATTTGACACATGTAGCGCCCAGCAAGTTGGGTGGCAGAGTCTAGGGAGTGGTTAGCAACCATGCATTAAACTTCCAAGACGGAGAGCCGGTCGACATCATCGCGAAAATCCGATGGCAGGGCCACAAAGACTCTTTCGAAATGGACGAGGTCCAAAACATGGTATTCGCAGAGGGTGCGCTCCCAGTTTCTCATGGCACGAAGACCACACGAAAAGAAGTGACGTTCTACTGTGCACATCGAGACCACCAATCCAGTCTTCTATGCTCATGCTCTCTAATCCTCCCAGCTACCCAGCTCGCAAAACTCGCGACCATACGGACCGATGGAAGTAGCTATTTGCCTCAGTCAAACAAAAAAGCCTCCGTATTCTCGCCCACAGGATTCTGCAGTACCATTCCGGCCTTCCATCTCGCTATGCTTGCCGCCACGACCAACAGGATACTGCACTCTACGGCCCGCTTCGAATCCATGTGGGCTTTAGACGGAGAACCGATCTACTGCAATTGAGCTTGTTCGTATGGATGTGAAAGGCGTAGATGAGATCGCTTCGCTTAAAGCGTAAGATGGGTTATTTTTTGACGGACGTGCTTGTGACGGCGAGTAGCAAATATGGCTGTCTAAGCATCACTATGCGCTCTTTGCTCCGAAAGGAGCTAGCAGTACCAGGCAGAGAACAAACGTTGGTGGAAAACCGGGAGGAAGATCGCTGCGATGCGCACGCGCGGAGGACAGCCAAAGATCATGGATCTGAAAGGTTTGAAATCATGATATCGCCTTTGCTATGGAGCACCAAGAGCCTGTTGCGCTCAACTACCTCTCGAAAGGCACAGGCTTTTCGCTTTCAATGCTCCTTTCCAAAGGTACGCCAGGATGAAGACCGCCCTGCCGAATCCGCTCATATTCAGCCCCTTCTTTGTGCCTGTACTCGCCACCACAAATTGATTTACCACCTCTTTGTCTTTGCTGATCATCTTGTTTTCGTCCTCACACACTGCACCAATCACATCTCGACTCCATGCATGATTCGTACCTGCAACCGTTCTCTGCTAACCAGCTCAGCGGCGGCTTGAGTAACCGTGGCTGCATGCGTGCTGCTTGCGCTTAGCCGCCTTCTTCTTGTCACACTCCTTCTTCGCCGCGATGCTCTCGTTGATGTTGATTTCCTGATCTCGTCGATATCTGGGACCGCCTGCTCTCCACCTCTGATGACTTTGTACATCGTGCTGTTCATGGCCGACTTGCACAGGCCCTTATCGAACGAGAGATTGTTGACGATCGTGGCGAATTGGTCGAGCTGAAGAGTAGTCGTCTTGATGCAGGCGCGGATCGAGTTGGGGATGGAGTCGCCGCGAGCTGTGCGATCGACATCGAGCGTGTGAGCAGCCTGATAGACGTAGATGGCTTCGTAGAAGTTGGCGATCTTGAGGGCCTCCACAGTCATCGGCTTCGGGTTGGTGGCACTGTTCTCGCTCACCCACTTCAGAACCTTCGTAGCGGACGCATAGTTGAGCTCGGTCTCACGGAATTCGAGCATGTTCTTGTCGATGCCATTCTTCTGCAATGACAGACGATGGCGCGCAGTCTTGGAGAGAGCGCAGAGCTTCGCTTTGTTGAGGTTGGGTGGGCTGACTGTGGCCATGCCGGTGTTGTCGTTTGGACGAACCTATATATTCACGGTCAGATCGGGACATATATCTGCTAGAGGTGGAAAGCGTTACGCACGAAGATGTAGACGACCTCCATTTTGACAGTCTGGGGGTTGGTTTGCTCGGTGAAAACTGTCTTGGATAGGTTCTTGGAGGTTAAAGAAGGTCGTCTTGCTCAGGAAGGGTGTCTCGGCCGGCTGCGAGAATGTGTCTTGTGGAAAGGGGGTCGACCGGAAGTTGATGGGAAGGAAGAGGAACGGAAGAGGGGGCGGACAGGGTTTTAATGTAGATAGGCATGAGTTGATACTGAGTGAATTGACACCGTATTGTCCAACCTGAAACGCGAGTCTGTTGTTGGGCGGAATATCCAGCATTCACATCTCCTAATTCGGGATGCACGTGCTTGTGAGTATCTGCCCGACTTTACCGCGGTCTAGTGCACAAACCTGTCGCCCCTCCACTTTCCCACCTAATGTCCCATCCACGCTTTTTTGAACGAATCGAAGGAAGAGTCAGGCGACCAACTCATCTATCTGTGATGCGTCCATCTTCGTATCGCGTAGCTAATAATCTTGCTTGCCGTGACAACAAGTCGTTATCGAACCCTGTCCAGCAGGAAAATCGAGCTGCAATGTACTACTCTCATTGCTCAGCTCACTCAGTCACGATCGCCCTCACCGACCATCAGTGCTTCTGCCCATCCATCGAAAGTTGTTGTGGAGGTCTCAGTGCTCGACGAGCGCCCCACATGTACGCCTCTCACGTCTGCTCTCCCCCATGCTCTGCTCGATCCCCTTCCTAATGCTTGCCATCTCCTCCCAAACACCGTGCTCGCGACAGACTTCCTCAATCTTGTCGGCATCAGGGACCGCATCGGTGCCCTTATTGACGAGCTTGAAGACGAGGTCGTTCTTCATCTTCTTGATTAAGCCGATGTCGAACGAGAGGGTGTTGAGGATCATCGCAAGATCGGGGGCTGTCAGCGCCTGGTGCTTGACGTAGTCGATGATGTAGTCCCGAACGCTGTCACCGCGCGGGCCACGAGCGATGCCCAGGGTGTGAGTGGCCTGATGGATGCGCACAGCCTCTTCAAACCCTGTGATACGTAACTCAGCGATGGTCATGGATGTTGGCTTCCGCTTGTTGTTGTCGTGGACCCATTTGAGGATCTTGGTCGCAGCTTGTGGGTCGAGCTTGGTGTCGCTGAAGTCTAGGATGTCCTTGCGACGTCCAGTCGGCTTGGTGTTGAAGTGCTTCTTGGCGACGATCGAGAAGGCGCAGAGTTGCTCTTGGGTGAGGCCGCCAGGACTGACGACGAGATGGATCTTGGTCGAGCTCAAGATGGCCTTCGTATAGAGTTAGATGTGCTTGTATACTGACCGAGGCCTGGAGAAAAACACTCACGAAGACCTGCACAGGTGCCATCTTGATAGCTCTGATGTTTGCTGTTTGTTATTTGGTGAGAAGTGTGTAAAGGTTTGTTTGTGATTGGAGGTAGGTATCTCGTTGTAATGAGACAGCCTGAGATCTTCAAACTTTGGCTTCTGCTTCGATAGTGCAAAAGTATTGCAGGCGGCGGGGAGTTCGAAGCGGATGTAGATGTAAAAGGGAGGAAGGAAACGGGAGATCAACCAGATCTTAAGTCGGGTAGGCAGACGTCAGTGGCAAGTTAATTGGGTGCCCATTGTCAAGCTGGAACGCGGATCTACTGTTGACAAGCATATCCACACCTCGGAAAATCCGCTTCACGTGCAAATATGCAGTGCCTCAAGCCACGACGCAGCAGTGTGATTCGCGAGCCTGCTTCACTGCGCTTGCGCGGACCATTGTGCATTCACCCCCATTGTGCATTCGCTCTTCAAACCAAACCGCAACGACTCTTCAAGAAAAGGTCTGAGACGCCTTTGCTGTTCCAACTCGCGGATTGAGTCCTATCCATCGACCACAGTAGGCCAAACGACCGTACCACCTCGATTAGCGTCCTCAACGACTTCAACAACAAGCGCGGTCTGCTCCCACGAAGTTCACATGACATCCACCATGTGTGCAGTGTCAGTTTTCCACGGCAAAGACGGCATGCTCACGCAGCTTCGAATCATGAACGAGCAGCTCCTCTCGAGATGCAGCTGTACGGCTCGAGATCTTCTCCAAGATCAGAAAGGCGCAGAGAAAGCGGTCACGATCTTTGGGGTTGGCTCTGCACCACTGAACTACGTTCTCGAAGAGATCCAACGTCACGGCACCGACGTCTACATCAAAACGCACAGAGAACCACTGGACCGAGCTGTTGCCATTTTCCAGGCCGTGGAAGCGTTGGCAGTCGATCCAGCTCAACCTCAAGTTGAGGGTTCCATCGTCCAATTCATCGCACACAACAAGCTGGAACCAAGGTGGATGGTCGCTGTACATCTGGCATTCGAAAGCCGCATCGACAGCAGCAAGGCCTGGACGACGATGGTACATCAACTGGCCTGGGACCTCAACAACGGAAACTACGAGGCAGAAGAAGCCGCCGCTCCCCAGAAAGCCGCCAGCGCCCATCCTTCTTTGCATCAAGCAATCGATGAGAAGATCGAGAACCTCGAGAACCGCCGCTCCAACTACGACGAAGCCAGCACGAAGTTTGCCGCTCGCAAAGAACGCATAGCGGAGAAGCAGAGTCGCACGAGGGTTCGTGACATCCACCAGCGTGTCCACGATCACAACAATCAGCTTCGGTACGAGGAGACGCATGGAATGAGGGAGGCATCGGAGGCAACGGTGGAATGGGCGCTGACAAGCAAGCCTGGGTCGTACTACATCGGACGGCCGAAGAAGGAGTTGAAGAAGCAGAAGCGGCAGGCCGGGAAGAAGGTGGACGAGGGAGAAAGCGGGATGTAAGAGGGACATGCGATTTCGTCGGAAGAGGTTGGGACATAGTGTGTTGGGTAATTTAAAAGATCTTGCAAATCTGTCAGGCCGGACAACCAGACGATTAGTCCGGATCAAAAACATTGTTACATTACTGGTTCTCGCTCTATCTGCCTTACCCGATGTGATTCAAAGGACAACGGTACGTTCTAGTGATTCCTTGGCTGTCCAGAAGGAGCCTCTTATGACCGACATACTCTCCACCAGTCGATACCGCCACGCGGCTGCTATTGAATAGCCTCTGAAGACCAGACTAACGCAGTATTTGCACCTGAGCCCGCAACATCGCTGTAGCGTCACCAACATACGAGTCCTCCCAGGACTTTGGCCCTTCAATACCGCTGCTACGGCCCCACGATGGCTGTCCTTGCACTTGAGAATTCCAGCTATCTCCGATGGCTGGTACTTAGCCTGGCGGTTTCCGCTTTATCACCCTTCTCCTCTCCGATGGGGATCACTCGGTCTGGATCATTGCGGCAGTCAATTTTTACTGATACAAAGCACAAAAATGCCCCAAGGAACAGCCTCTCCTCTAGTGGCTATCGTAGTCACTCGAAGCCCATTCTATCACGCTTCCAAAAAGTACGGGGCTAGAAGTCTTGGAGCCAGCTCCAGCAGTCCTGCGACACCTCCATCGAAAACTGTTTGCTTCGCGAGAGCGGAGAGGCAAGGCGACATAGTTCCCACAGTCGAAGATGCCCGAATGCTTCCATGCGGGGCTGGATCTCTGATCCAGCCTGTATCCCGAAGATGCTCGATTTATCAGATGGAGATGCCCCTTTGGATCTGCTTGAGGTCTCATGCGTGGAACATCGGCGTATGAGGCTAGAGGCTGCTGTTGCAACAGCGGATAGACCTTGCTCGGGGTATCAGTTGCTACCTCCTCATTATCACGCAGTCAGAAGTGACTCGGATGAGCCCCTTTTCTCCAGCTTCAAGCTGACGAAACATGTGGGGCCTCCCTTGCCCGGTTCATACAGTAGCCGCAGTACAAGGTGCCTGTTCTCAACCCGGGCAAAGGTATTCTTCCATTCCAACAATTCTTGCTTTCTCTTCTCGTATTCTGGAATCGGTGGCATGGCGCCTATTTCCAGGTCAGACTCAATCTTCTCGATGCTAACCGCGGAGCTCATCGTCTCTGCTGCGCCTTGGCCTTCAGGGTGGTTATTGTCTTTCCCAGCTTGTGCATTCAATCCGGGCGTTTGCAGAGATGGGAACAAAGGTTGTCAGCAGCCTCAGTGACCAGCTGGATTTTGTCGACGATGCGAGTCAAAAGGTGAGCTGTTTTAAAGAAGACGTAGTCCTACAAGAGCTCTGCATGCTCTTTGCTCGGGGCGCTTGGCTCGATTATGCATGCTAAGCAGAGGTTGCCACTGTGTGGGTTCAACGAGAGACTGAAAAGAGGGTCGAAGGATTGATCCTGTTGAGGAACAGATCTCCGCTCTATCGAGGGACAGCAAGCGAGGGATCCACCTGCGTCAGGCCGGTCATACCGCTATGTCCATATCGAGATGTCGGAGGGCGTCGGAGGCTGGACGGCCCATGGCAAGGGATTCTCCGGAAAAGGTCCAAGGACTTGTACAGGCATGTGAGGAAATCGAGGCTAGTCTGAGCATCGGAGAGGCAGCAGGTGGTATAGTTTCTTTGGTGGACATCGATCTTTTCGCGTAACAAGAAGAAGACGTCCCGTGGCTGTGATCGCTTTATTGCTTGCGGACTCTTTGGACTACAACGCCTCACGTTTACCTGCAGGTGGTATGCTCCAAAATAAGTGCACGCAGCTCATTGAGGGTTCTGAGACAGCAAAAGCGTAAGTAACGAAAAGTCGCGGTATGAGAGCGTTCCTTCCCATTTGGGCACAGAAAAGTAAAGTCCGCGTGATGGCCGACTCTCCCATACAGACAGCACCAAAAGCAGAAGCTACCGCATCAGCCAGGCGGACAACATGATCCTCTGATCTGATGCAGCTCAGAGGCTACATTTTAGATCCCTGCGGCCCGATGGTCTCGCCACGATGGATCAGGAGCAAAAAAGGCAAAAAAGATAGGAGTATTGCAATGGGTAGGGGCCACATCCAATTACTGCTGGGGAATGAACCCAGAAAGTCTGATATTCGAACTCGTTCTCAATCAAGTTGACTTAAAGATCCAGTCCAGTCCAGTAAATCCAGTAAATCCAGGAGCTAGAGCAAGAGCCATTGCCATTGCCACACCGTGTATCACGTTAGTACGAATACGCACCTGATTGGTCCATCCCCCTTGGACAATCCTGTGATTGATGAGGAACACTTTTCCATTTGATAATATATAGCTTATGAGCGGTGCTAGCGGCATGCTGGAAGGTCACGTCATTGGCAGATTATTGGGAAGGTAAGGTACAATCGTGACAACAACACACGCACATGGTGACGGTACGCTGCGTACGTACTGCATCGACTCTGCTCTCCGTTCCCAATGACAGTATCAACAACGTTAGCATCTATGACACACGGCCCGACGATTAGCGTTGCCCCCAGACGAGCAGTATCGTTCGAAGACACCGGCGGAGTTGCATTCCCTTCAACATCTCCAACCACGGCGCAGCTGTCCCCACGACCATCCAACTCATGCCCTCACTCAACGCCACCATGACAGCTGCTCATCTACAGCCCCTTCGACCCCTTACGAATCGACAGGCCGTTCATGTCGACAGTCAGGGACGACAGCTCGTAAGAGCACCTTGAGCAGTCCTTAACGCATGAGTCCATTTCCCACCCTTGCCCACTACAGATATCGCACGGCGTGTCCCCTACCACCACCAGCACAAAAGCCCTCCGGCCAGGCGGCCGAAAGACGCTCTACCGACGAATTCTTTTATATGTCTGGCTCCCGTGGGCACACGCCCGGCTCATTTCGATACACGCCCATCGTTCGCTTGGCTCGACGCAAGCAGAGCTGTTGCCGCCGTGAGAATTAGGTTTGGATTGGGATAAGCATGGACACGTGAGGGCATTGAGCAGGCATTGAGCCGGTATTGGAACAAAAACTGACCTGCGACAGCCCTTTCGAGCAACATGATTACGACTTGGATCCCACGGCGACCGGTAGGCAGTACGAGATCTCTCTCTTAAGGTGACTCTAGGTCTTTGCAGGCATTTTGAAGCAGGACTGCTGGGATGGACAGCCCCGTCGTCGGTACCCAGGACTGAAGTTCTCCCAGTTTGAACGTCCATGCCGCACCAAGCGATCAAGTTCTAGAAAGACCTCCGCGCTGATCACCGCGCCAACAGAACATTCCATGAGACCTTCCCGGCCTTGCAACGAACGAACGATCGATCCCAGCAGCCGTCCTCCCGACCCGCAAGCATAACGCTTTCGCTGCGAAGGTGGCATCAAGAGCGCCAGCCAGTTCGCACAGACATCCGCTCTGTACTCTGGGCAGCTCTTGAATCACTTGCCGCATTCAGATACTACGTGTATGTCAACACGCCTGATGGAAGGTTCTCACATAATCCTGGTCTACACTACCCAGGCCTGGCAAAAGTTCGCTTATGCATTGCGCAAGCGGGTGCACGAAGCGTTTGCACGGCACCAGCACGACTTTCACGACACCAGTTGCCTAAAACTTCCGAACGAATATAGGAGCGAGGGATTCAGGCAGCCAGCGAGGTTGGCCGCAGGAAGCACGAAATGTGCGTCGCTTGGAAGAGGCAGAATCGCAGCAATTGGCGACCACTATGCTCGGTTCAGGACCTCGAAAGCTCTCCTCTGGATATTACGGATCGAACATGTGTTGATGAGCCCCAACAACCACTCCAATACTGGCACAGCGGAATAGTGGCACGGCCTTCTTCGACCGCCCGGCTGACACCCACCACCTGGCCACCCGTGGATCCCGACCCAGCGTAGCTGGCCGAACCTGAAGGTGACCGAGCCGCCACCGTGGGAGAGGGGGCTTTCGGGCAGCTCTTCGCTAGGCGATGAATTTGACAACCAGCAGGACTAACGGTGATCCAGACCATTCATCAGCACGAGACCTTCCGTTTCGGAGCACTTGATCAACGATGGCATCCCCGCTGTCACCGTGAGAACAGTCTTCTGTACTGAGCCCTGACTGCATGGCCGCGATAACAACTGACTGCAGCAAGCCTCGCTGGAAGCCTCACGATCCTCAATGCAGCTCACATCTGTCTACAGGCACACAGACTGAGCAAAGGGAAGAACTTCGTGTCAACGCACCAACCTCCTGGAGGCCGGTAAAGCACTACGTCCACAGAATGCATGAGAACCCTGCTTTAGCATCCCCAAATACGAACGCCGGGATCGGCACTCCGGAAGCAAGGCCCGGGACTGCTCCATACTGCAAGAGATTCGGTACCGGACTCATATCGTGCTTGCACCATCAGCGACGGCCATCAGCGAGACGAAAATGCAAGCCAGCGAGGGAGTGTGTGTTAACAGATCCGCCACCGAACACCGTTGCCTAAGTTGAATCACTTGCGGACGCACTGCCCACACGCCACCATGCTCACAACATGTCGTGAGTACCGTCACTCGGTGTCACTTATACCTTCGAATGGCACTTTTCCGGGATCCTGGCAGCCAGCAGCGGTCCAAGCAGAGTCGCCATGAATGCAGTCTTGCGATTCAAAGAATGCGCAATACAGCGGGCCTCAAGCGCTCGACGTCGGCCCTTTATTGACGTTGTTTGCCCTCTGCAGAAAGTGAAGGTCCACACACGGTCAGGCTATACTGGAAATGTGTACTTCCCATCCAGCAAGGTTCGCCGCAATGCCAGGCTCTTCGGCCAGCTCGCGTCCGTCAGCTTGGACAGTCGCAAACCACTGAAGGAGACATCGCGAGCACTCAGACGTCCTGCTCTCCAAAAACGGTTGTGGAAGAAGCCTCCAAAAATGTCCGAAGCTGGCTCGTCCATGAGGTATTGCATCTGTTCGCGTGAGTCTGAACGGACGCCTGCACCCTTCGATGCCG